GCACACTATTTCCCACAATTTCCCAATTGTGGGACAATAAAGGAATATACTATACTATTCAATTGTACCGGTATCGGCTGATATTGGGTTTAAAAAATGAAATATCTGCCATCATCCATTCAAACAAAATAATTCATACAGTGGGTAAGGAGAGTATTCAGACCCCTTTAAATTTGTTTCATTGCAGCCATTTGCTAAAATCAATCAAGTTCATTTTATTTCTCATTAATGTACAGTCAGTACCCAATCTTGACAGAAAAAAGAAATGTAGAGAGAACCATCATAAGGAGGATCAGAAGAAATGAACAGCATGTGATTTAAATAGGAGTGTCACAGCAAAGGGTCTGAATACTTACGACCATTCGATATTTCAGTTTTTCTTTTTTATCGGCAAACATTTTTGTTTTTTTCTGTAAAGATGGGGTGCTGTGTGTGTGCTCATTTATGATGGCGCCGCAGGCGGTAGCCACGGTGAGTTGGTGCGCACTTTTTAGTTTTGTTTTACCTGATACTGATTCTGATTAATGACAAATAAAATGGACTTTTAATTAACTTTTTGATCTTAGCAATAGCAAATGACTGCAATTAAACAAAGTGTGAAAAATGTAAAGGGGTCTGAATACTTTCCTTACCCACTGTATATGTATATCAAGTAACTGCTTTTAGAACAAACAAGCAAAAATAATGTGTTTGCCAGCAGACTACATGTACCCAAATGATGCACGAGTGTCTAACAGAAGAGATACTAAAGTAAAAATGTCTGTGGTGTTGATGTTTTTTTAAAGTTTTAGAAACAGATGCCCAAACTGCTATTTACAATGACCGCCATGATGGGGTGATGAAAAACTAAGTGTCTTTAAGCAGGTAAAAGACATAAAATATCAGTATTGGCTATTTTGGCATCTCAGCCAAAATTCCAATACTGTTCATTAGAGACTGACATGGGAGTGGATTTTCACTCCCGGGCCAGATGAGAAATCTAAATCCTGTCCCGTCCCACTCCTGGTGAAATTACTCCCACTCCGATCCCGCTCCCATTTAGAATGACTCCCGCTCCTGCACCACTCCCATTCTTGTTGTCTTCAATAAGATTACTGCCAATAAATTGAATCTGAATTTCTATGAAGGGTCAGTTAAGTTCCTGTTTCTAACTGTAGTAACTGCTGGTCCCTCCATTGTTGTTTTTGAGCCGGGTGAAAAACTCAGAGCGGAAGCACTGTTGGTTTTTGGGTGTAGTTTTTTTTTGACTCGCTTTATAGTGTAGGCTTCAAGGTAAAAAACTACAAAATGGCGGCGCCAGTACTGGATTTTTTTTCTTTCTATTTTATTTTATTTTTTGGCATCGCTCCTAGTTTTTTTTTAGTTACTGTTGGTTTGCTCCCACTCCCGTCTGCTCCCATTAATGTTTAATCCTGTACCGTCCCAATCACGTAATCGTTACTAATACTGACTCCCATCCCACGGGAATCCCACGGGTCACTGGATTCCCGAAAAAATGTCAGTCTCCACTGTTCATCCTTAATTATAACCTTAATCATCAATATGGTATAAAAGTCTAGAAGAAACAGCAATAATTATTGATTTTCCAGCTTCAGTGGAAGTAATCAGATCATGTTGCTGAATGTTATTTTACATCCCTGTAAAGATACTGTGATAGGATGACAGCATGCTTTTTTTAAGAAGGGAATCAGACCATATGACATTAAACTGACCCCAGCCTAATGTCTAATTTGAATATCGACTTTCACATGTCAATAACCTGCAACTTTATAACCAATTTCAACGGTAGCAAAAACCAATGGAACTGAACAAAACATCAAGCAACAAAAGACTGATAGCTAAGGTGATGGCAGCAAACAACAATTGCACAACAGCTCCAGGTAATATAACAGTTATTATAATCTAACCGTCATAATGATGAAATGTTTAAGATTTATTAGGAATGGACACTACAGCAGGTTCTAAAGAGAATTTAGTGTTTAGTTTGAGAACCTTTTAAAAATAAATTTCAGTTGTATTTCATGTTTTATTATTCTTTTGGGGGGGGTTTCAAGTTTATATTGGAACAGATTACATCTTCAAAACTAGACATTCATTTAAACTCAGTTGTGATTATTATTAAAATAAATTAGGGATGCACGATATTGGGATTTTGGCCGATATCCAATATGCCGATATTTTAAAACTCATGTAGCCGATAACCGATATCAATACCGATGTTAAAGCTGGACAAAAATAAGTAGTCATTGAAAATAGCAGTTTTGTTATCCATTTCTGACACAAAATAATATACCCAAATATATTTTCATATGCTGATATCAAATTGATTTTTAAAAACGATCTATCGATCTATTTTACTTTCAAAATCTCGTGAAATTTCATCGTTCTGTTACAAACTCTCGTGATATTTTGCAAATTCTAGTGAGATTTTGTTAGTAAAATAGATCGGTACTGCGTCAATATATCAACATATAAAAATATGGCAAAATTTCGTGAATTTTCGGGGGATTTCGTTGCATAACGATTACATATAGCAATATTTCATTAGTTAAAGAGATTGATATGGTGTTTTTAAATGGCAATATATCAGCATATGAAGATATTGTGATATTTTAATGTATCAATATTTTTTCCCTCGTCTTTAGAAGTTTTTAAGTCTGTAAAAAAAAGTTTTTGAAGAAGAAGAAGAAGTAGTATTCTTAGTTTTCTTAGACTTTAGAAACTCAGAAGCTGATCAAATATCGGGTTAAATATCGGTGGGGTGGCCGATGTCCGATATTCAGTTTTAAGGCCAATACAGGCCGATACCGATAGGGGACCGATTATATCGTGCATCCCTAAAATAAATCATGATAACATTTATTTTTTCACCCAGCTTTACTGATTAGTTGCTATTTTGTTAGTTTATACGATATTTAATGAAGAAAAAAAATGATCAAATGTACCCAAGTAGAAGAAAACAAGGGGTGGAGCTTTACAAGCGTAGTTCAAGCAAATGTCTCCTTGGAATGAAACGCTAGGACAGCACCTCCTGCCAGTGATAAGAAATGAATTAAGGTCCAACATAAAGGAAAGTCATAAGTCGAATGAAGAACGGTTTGACATTAAGAAATCAAACCATAGGTAGGGGAGCAAGACCTGAGCAGGACTGAGCTTTTACTACCTCTTTCTTAATACTTCTAAAGATGTACAGACTAAAACCACATGTGGCTGTCCCAGTGTCTTCCTTCAACTTTATACGCTAAGGTGATTCCTTTTGCTGTCAGTCCTGTTCCTCAGTCACATCACTCATACGCTTTACACACTTCAACATCGCTCCTCTGCTCCCTGATTTCTTTCACCATCTAATTATCTTTGCATCTGACAAAGAAGTACAGTTAGCATCCTAAGCATCAGCAAGCGATCCATCATCCTGCGTACTACCAGTCGTTTTTCCTAGGCTTAAGAATAAAAAGTAGAGAGCACAAAAAAATTATAATAAAGGCTAAACCCAGAAATGTTTCTCTAGGTACACAACTGGTCAAATATTCGTAAAAGAGTACTAAAAAGCTTAGAAGATTGAGACAAGATTAAGAGACAAGAGAAAGGTGTCTGCTCAAAACAAGAGTAAGGTTTTAATTAGTACTGCAACAAAAAAAAAAAAAAGAAGAGCGATCCAGAAACAACAAGCCTACCCTTCCTATGGCTGGCTATTTTATCAGTCTAATCAAAACTGGCTAGACCTTACTTTTAACCATAGCCAATAAATCCTCAATGTGTTTGATTTTCTAAACACTTAAGTTTTTCTGCATTTTAAGCTCAGTTTTCATGTGTTTGGGATTTCATCATCTCCTTCCGAACTCAAAACTTAAATCTAGGTTTCAACCATCTGATTCAAGCAGTGATTTTCTGCAAAAATGAAGTTGTCATGGATGTTTAGGGGGAACCATGGAACTAGCCTGAGTCTATTAAACTGAAAGCTGTTATAATGCCATTAGAGATGCAAAGTATGTCAAATTGAAATCCTTCATTAGTTTCAATGTATAAGGAAACCGCAAAGTACCACTTTGATGTGGTATTATGCATTTTGGTACATTTAGATAGGAGGGCAAATATCTAGCCAGGATTATGCCAGAAATGTTGGGGTTTATTTTTTCCTTCTGCTTGCTGAGGAAGGTTTAATCACTGTTAGAGTAGTTTTCAAAGTCTATATTTTTAACAAAGTGTAGATTAGAGGAAATACCAATATAACCCAATTTATAATTCAGACAAGTTATCTGTTGCATCATTAAACACCCTGTGAAAAAATGAAATGCATGATCAAAGTCCATCACAACTCAAACCATGTGGATAATTAATGCATGTGAAGTATTTACCCTTTGAAAGGATACTGACAATTTGGCTTAACTGGTAGATTTCATATATGAAGATCCTGCCAGGACAGAAATCTGTGGCAGAGCATCCAACTAACAGAGGACAGAACACTATGTAGGTTGTTCAATGTCAAGGTAATCAGCATATAACTGCACAACTTAACAGGCCCCAAGTTGGTTCAGGTTGACTGTAAAAGGAACAACTTGCATAGATTTTGGCTTCATGTCTCAGCCTCACATCTAAAGTGTTTTCTGTCCTGGTCACTCCTTTTCCTGTCCAATAATCTGCATCTTTTTTCTTCTGTTGTTCCAATCTCTATTCCAATATTGTATGTGCCTAAATCCCATCTCTTTACAGATTTCTTGTTATTCACATATCACATTCTCTAGTATTGGTTTATGAAAAGCATATGTAGTTATGATTTCAGCTCAAACATAAAGAGTACATCATTCATGCTTGCAAACAAATAGGCTTATAAGAAGACTGTCACATTGTATTCAACATAAATAGATAAAACTAAGGGGGGGGGGGAGAGTTCTCCTTTTTCTTTATGTGTGCACCTAAAGTCACATTACAGTTATTTATAAAGGAGAGCAAAAACTAAAAAGGAGTCTAGAGAATAAGCATTAAAAGCAGCTGATTAAATCAAAACAAAAAGTAGTATTGCTAATATGCACTCACATCCTGAAAAAGACGTCTATCCTGGGCCAGCCGTTTGGAAGCCAGTGTTTTGGTGACATGATAGAAGGTTAGCAACGCTCTGTGCTGCAACAGGCCATCTTGTCCCTTCACGGATTCGAGCAGAATTGGAATAAGCTCTGGCCATTGCCTGGGGCAATCAAGCCTGGCCACCTTGGCTATCAGTACCGCGATCTGGGTTGCTATCTGTTAGGAGAAGGAAAAGAAAAAGATAAGCAGAGGTAAAGCATCAACACCATAGCAGGTGATTATGCCAAAGCGAATGATAAGGGCATTGCTACTGAGCCAACATACCAATATAACTAATAAGAACAAAATGGGTTGTTTTGGTTTTTCTTGACTGTTTCTCTTCAAAATGTAATGTCAACACAGAAACGGCATAAACAAGATGGTTTAAGCGGAAAAAGAAGAAGAAAAGAAGTGCATCGGTATCCCTATTTATCCCAACCTTTATGACAATGATTTGTTTTGCTGGTAAATATAAAACAAACCAATAGTTGTGAACCAGGTTGCAGGGTGTTTGAAAGAGGCAGTACTTTGATTACAAGGTAATTCTCCTTGACATGTGAGCATAGGTCTCTAATCTTCATCTAATTTTTGGTCCATTTAAAAAAAATAAAAATAAAATATATATCAACCTGCATTTGATTAGTTGATTAGAAAGTAAATTGAAATGAAATGTTTTAGAAAATTATATTAAAATTACATATAATCACTCAACGGTATGAGTAAACCAGGAAAACGATCTTCTATAATAAAACAAACTAATAAAAAAAAAATGTTCTTTATGGGCCTTTCATTGAAGCAAAAGTTCAAGCATGCATATGTTTTGCAAAGGTCTGACCTTTTAATTAGCTTGGTAGAGCTACAGCTTGTTTGGGGTCCTCATTAGAAAAGGTCAGGTGCCAAAAATTACAAAGGCTCTCATCAATGCCACTTTTCAGAACTTGACAAATTAACAATATAGAGAGCCAAAGATACATTTTAATATTTAACAAGCAGGTAAATAAAGTCATAAGTGAACTATAAAATGGAAGTGCACAAATTAGCTATTCAAACTTTGAATTGTAGTAGATATCATAACTAGCCATACATCAATTAATCATTAAACTTTAAATATCTAGGGTTTCAAACATTTATTTTGGTGGGGTTAAGTTATTGTCCATCAAATTTGATGGGATGGCCGACACTCCTTAAATGGGCTCAAGTCGCAACCAGGGGCAAACTGTATTTAATGAGTGATGCTTAGAGTTTAAATCAAAGGGACGAGAAATTGAAATAAACTTTAAAATAATCATTTATCATGGTGACAATGGGACCATTCCTTATCAGTAATGATTTGATAATAAATGTATGTTTGATCAAAGTTTTTTTACAATTATCTAATTGCAAATGCAAATAATCTAATACATTTGTTGCCTAAGATATATACTAGGTACAATATAAATTACTATTGGATACATTTTCATTGCAAGGTTATAGACTTTTTGGGTTGTAGCATTTTTGGCCCTTCATACAAAAATAAAAATCCCCAATTCCAACAACAGAGGATCCTGTGTTCAGAAATATTCTCCACACTTTAACAGAACAGAAACAGCCTGTCCATCAATACATTCCCTTAATGATAGCCACATTAATGTTAAATGCATACAAGGCTATTTTAACCAGGTGATTTATATGTAAGAATGCAAGTTTAATTTTTCAGTATTGATAGGATGTGGTGTTTTCTAAGAAAATGGGGTATGGTAATAAATTTCCTATTGATTATGGAACTTCTCGAATGCATGAACCCTCATAAAGCTTTGATTAAAAGGACAACGGCTGGGACAGATGAGACATAAGGAGCTTAAAAGCACATTTTTCGCCTTCCATATGGACCCCTTCCATCCTGACATTACATAAAATGTCCCACAGGGAAATAAAACCTGAAGAAATAAGAACAAATGAGTCTATTCATCAGTCAGGTTTCTTTTTTTTTAACAGCTAGTTTTGTGCAGAATAAAACTTGGTGAAAATCCTTTCCGCATTCTGTTATAGTATTTTTCCATTCACCCCACCAACCTGATTGACAGGCTCATTGAAGTTTGTGATAAGACCAGCACGCAGTGATGTCTTCTCCTCCTCTGATAATGCACTGCGAACAAAGCAAACAAAGATATTCAGTGTGCAAGCACCCAAGGAGAGAAGTATACACAACACAGAACAAGCTCAGAGTTTCATGACTTCTCATAATTAATACATTTAATTAATTAAGATTTTATGAAGGCATTGGCCATAACAGTAATAAACCTGGAGGAAGAAGAAACAAACCAGCCCAGAGTAAACCTGTAACTGATGAAGGGTTCTCATCCCAGTGCAGGTGATTACAATACATCCCAGGAGATGCTTGGTCTTTTCATTTCCATTCCTACACATGTAAATCAGTGACAAACTGATATCAACTTACCTACCCTCATGGAATGTATTAAATCATTTAATGATGAACAACTGATGGAATTATAGAAAAATTCCAGCCTTTCCCAAGTGTCTTTGTTATTAAAGTGATTATGGCATATACTGTTGGGAAAAAAATCATACTGACTTTTTGTTTTTGTTTTGGCCTGAAGATGATGAAGAGAAAAATGGGCTGCACAAGACTGAAACTGCAATCACATTATGTCTAGGCATATATGTGGTTTGTGATGATTCACGACTAGTCGATTAGTTGTTTTGGGATCTTAGGCTAGACTTGTTTTTATCATCCAGCTACTGGATGATGAAAACAATTCAAAAGCTGTATAGATCTGTCCGAGCCCCACAGACTCAAATAAACTCATACATATAAAACTTAAGAGATTATCTGCAACTCAACATCGGGAAGTGCAACGTCCAACAGAATAAGAACAGCCTAAATTTTTATTTGAAACATATTTATTATAATTATTCATGCTATTAAGGGACCATTAGTTGGGGGAACAAGATCAACATTACTGCAAGTTTTGTACATTGTATCATTATCCTGCTAAATGTCAATCATTCTAATAGGAACATTTTGTAATTGTGTGTGTAAAAGTGTGAACAATAAAAAAATAAAAAAAAATAAAAAATAAAAAAAGCCATCCCTTATTGATGTGGTTTAGTTTTGATTTTACTTTCAACTGGAATTAAAACATGTATTAGAATAAAAAAAATCCCTTTATTGTACCGCTCTGGGGAAATTGTGGCGTTGCAGCAGCAAAAGATTGTAGCAAAAGTGGTCACACAAATGTGGACCTTAAAAAGAGTGTATAAAACTAACAGAATAAGTTACAGAGTTAAGAAAATAAATACAATACTGTACTGTACATTGTTTTTACAATATACATACTGCAGTATCTGGAAAGAATAAATCATCAATATACAGCTGTGGACATTTTTACAGTGATGGATATGTGAAAAAAATAGCAGCGACACCAGAGATGTGCAAAAATGACAGCAGCATGTTATTTAACCGACTAAGACAGAAACTGTGCAAAAATCCGCTTGAATGTAAATTATTGATGCTGTTGGGAACAGTGATGGTAATAAAGTCTTACAGCTGCTGTGAGGAAGGACCTGTGATAACGCTCCCTGGTGTATTTAGGGTGCAGCAGTCTGTCACCAAAGGAGCTTTGGAGTTCAGCAACAGCTTCATGCATGGGGTGGGAGATATTATCCAACAGAGATGTTATTTTAGTTAGGGTCCTTTTCTTTCCCACCTCCTGCACTGAGTTCAGAGGGCATCCAGCCATCCAATAAGTATTAAAAAATAGATAAAAGGTAGAGCTGCAAAAAGGATAAAAGCTTAAATATTCCTAGGCTGAGTAGAAATCAGCCTGGAGGAGTGGTGGACATACCCTCTAAAAACAACAAACACCTAACCTCAATATGTGTATCAGATATAAAAAAAAAAATAAAGTTGGATTAAAAGTGAATCACCTCTCTAAGATGAAAATAATTATAGTTATTTTATTTGGATACGTTGTGTCTTCCAAAAGCCATATATATTTATCCCAGACATTTAAAAACAGTAAATATTTCTCTATATATGAATAATTTAACACATATAATGATAAATATAAAAAAAGCCTTTGGCGAGGAGCCCTTTGAAACTGAAATAGTTGCTTGTGGGTACCAGTTTTTAGTCGTACTGTGTGTCCAGAAAAATAAATAATAAATAAATAAAAAATTAAAAGAGTAATTGTAGGTTTACTCCACTTCTTCAACACTTCAAATAAAAAAAAATAAATAAATAACTTTCCACTGTTTTCGCTTGAAGTTTTTATGTGCTGAGCTCTGGGGACACTTTGCTGGAGGTTGTCAGGAAAGTTGAAAGAAATAGATTTATATTCATATTTTAAACTTTTATGAAATCTGTTCATTTTATCTTTATGGTGTATGTCCCTTGTGCATTTGCTTTACTTCTTGAAACAGTACCATCTTATTAGCTTTGCTTGTAAAAGCAACTTTTCTTGCACAACTTAGATGAAACAAAAGACAACAAAATTATTCCACTAAGTGCAAATCAGGTGTTTTGACATTACTCTTTAAATTGTCAAATCTCAAATTAAAAACAAATCACACCAGGGAGAAGGGTATCAATATCAGGGGACAGTTCAACAAAAATGTGCAGCCTTTGTTCTAATTCTCTGTGGTACGGAGAAATTCTGAATTTTTTGGTGCACATAAAAATTCTGATGTACGAAGCAGTGAACACATCTCACAGCACATCGTTGAGATCTTCACCTGCCCCTAAATTCATATTCTAATCAGTATAAATACCTCAAAGACTCATACCACAATGCGAGGTCATCCTATTTTGACTGGCACAGGACCACTCAGGGATGGCTGTTAAATACCGGACCTGTCAATCAGCTCTATTCACTCCAGTTGCAGAAAGCGCAGTGAGAGGAAGATCTCTGAACACACACTCCTCCCTCATTCTTCTTTTGCCCGTAATCCTCCAGCAGAGGATAGGCTGCCATCATTCAACAATAACACACTCTTTTAAGCCCCTGTCACACCTTGACGATTTAGGCAGCGTATGCCTGACTTATGAAAAATCTTGCAAAAACGCTGGCATACGTTGGATAATTCATGGGTCAGTTTTGTATAAGTTATGAGCATGCTGAAGCACGCTCAGCAAGTACGTTAAGACGTAGTGGACAGATGCCAGCGCATGTTCACATATGGGCTATAAGTTACAGGTAAATTATTTGATTGTTGACGTACAATAAGTATAAGTTACCCATAAATCGTGGTGTCTAGCTTATCCAAAACCTAGGAGTAAATTATGCATAAATTATGTGTAACTTATCAAGAACTTATCTCCAATGCATATCAATATATTTGACATGTTCCAGGCGACCGCTGAACGTGGTTTTTATCTTCCAGCTACTGTTCAATGGCGGCGTTTTGGTATAAAAGGGGGTTCACAGGAGGAAACTGTCAGTTCTCCTCCAGACTGCATGCCAATCATAGGAGGTGAGTGTGACGGATCCTCCCTGCGTTCACGCCAACGGCCACGACCAACAAACTACCTAGCAGACATGACACTGAATCTAATGCAACTGCAAAAACTCTTTTTTTTTTTTTTTGTCTGCGGGCGGTAAACATGCATTGCTGCTGCACATTTTCAAGGCAGAACTTTGTGTAAATGATTGCAGATTTTCACACAACATATATTTATGATATTCTACAATAACAAGATTGACCTGTGTTTTAATATGCTTGCTGTTCTAGCCTTACACATATACATTTCTGCAGTACAAAGAGAGAATCAGTGTCTGCCACTATTACAGAGGTACATAAGATGGGTGATGGAAACTGGATAAGAGGGACAACTTTTACTGTTCAAAGAAGGAAACAGATATCTAAAGCATCACTGATTGTCCACAGCGACACACAGCAAGGAGGACTTACAGAAGGAGCAATTGATAACTTTTAATGTAACAAAGGAAGCTAATCAGGTAACTTAAGATAAAAAGTTATCCCAAAAATATCCCAAAGCCAATTGCATAAGACGGAGGAGGCACAAACAAATAGCCTCAGAATAAAATCAAAGCACAAATGGATGCATAATTACACTAATACAAACCAAGAAAAGATGACATGTGGGAAAAGTCATGCAGATGTTAGCCACAATAGGTAAAAGCATAGATAAGGGGGGAAATGTGAGCAAAGGCACTAAAAACTTAGATTAGAATAGTTTAGCCTCACAGGTCAAAAAAGAAAGATTAAGACTGATGAATACAGTTAGCAGGTCAATGGATAAGATAGGGAATATATTTTATCATGAAATATATAATATAATATATTCCGTAATTTGTAATAAATATATTCCTTATATGTTAATTATGAAATTTCATTTTGTACACACTCAAAATGACAATAAAAGTTGCCTAAGTCTAAGAAATAAACATAAAGATGAGGAGCACTGCAGAGGCAAATAAGCTTTAGATGGAACAGTGAGTGTGGACGTAGGAGATGCAGGTACTTACTGAGGGGCCACCCTCCTCCAGTATCTGTCAATGCCATTTTTGAAGTACAGCACAGCGAGCCATCTCACGTTCACATCCAACGTGTGATTATTGAAAATATTCTGGGGAGGGAAAAAAAGGAAGAACAAGGACATTCACCACCAGTAACAGTATTATCGCTTATATAATCAATTCCTCTTGCCATGCTATGCTACAGGAAAACATCATGGTCAACAGCAAAACCAAAATCTGACAGGAGTTAAACAATTACACAACATAAACAGCACTTCATAAAAAAGGCTTTATGTGGGATACCCACTTGTCTAGCTTTACTCCCTGTAACTACAGATATGTCTGGGCTGTAAATTGTGGCAATAAACCCTGAAGATGTATCTGAGTACCCCGCATATTCAGAGTTATTTGCTTTTGCACTGCAGAGGCACGACCAGCCACAGTAATATCAAAGATTGGAATCTGGGCTCTCATATTTTCAGAAAGGAAAGTGTCCTGTTTAAGTAGCATTTGGGCTTCTACACAGAAATATACAACATCCATCTGTCGCATCAAGGGAACAGAACAGACCATTAGCAGAGGCCACAGCGTAACTATTTACTTTCAATATGCAAGTGAAACACAGCCCGCTGCCATTTGGCTGTTATCAGATCCAATCAACGGAGCACAATTCTAGCTAGTTTGGCTCACTTTTGATCAATCCATGCAGATACTGCTCTGCAAAAATAATTGAGACATATTGTGCGCCCTGGTTTAATTGGGATCACAAGCAAGTGCACAAAACATAACTTTGCTGTAAACATCCTTTGTAAGAGTTGAATCATCTGTGGCTTCAACGCAGCACTGCATCAGAAGTCAAAGATGTTTTCAAGCCAAGAAAGAAAAAAAAACACCAGAAGAATCCCTGGAGGATTAGGCCCAAACATGAGCTTTGGACTGACTCAAGTTGCATGTCATTATATGCACATGCCAGCAGAAGACTGTTTATGCAATATTCCTGAAACTAGACATATTCCATTGTGGCAGCAAGGTGGAGGGAACAGGAGGCAGATAATTATACAAATCATGTACAACAAAAGATGCCTGGGTCTATCGGGGAAAGGGGGACCCATTCTATAGAAACAATTGTTATTGTCTCTATATCTATTCTACATAAATGTATGTGCAACACTGGGGGATAAAGATAAAGCAAGGGGTGAAGGAAAAATGAGAATTTCCAATCTGTCACTGTTTAACGCCTATAATAGCTCATATGACAGACAAAATAGCCATTAAAAAGGCAAAACGGATAGAACTGCTGGTCATATTGTGATGGAGAGAAAATATTGAAAGTGTTTAGATACACATAAAAACAGTAAACAGGGGAACCAATTTTAAAAATCTTAATATGCAGGTAACAGGAAAGAAATTTCAAAACTAGACATTTTCACTGATTCACAATTACTTTAATGGTTGCATTAGTGAAAACTGTACTCTAGCAATGTTGAGATATTTCAGGCCAAAGTAGCTGTGCAAAATGCACACCTCACTATCTTAGGTGTGCAATGCGTGAAAGCATCCATAAACTGCAGGTAAAAATAACTACAATTACATCAGCCTGAAAGAATTAAAGAATGGTGCCTTTTTTAGCTTTTCAAGGAAAGCAAGAAATAGGAGAATATGAGGATATAATCCACACCTTAAATTCCAGCAATAATCCTGTCACTAAGAAAGTGAATCATAACCTGCTTTATCGCTCAGTTTGGCATAAATAAGACTTAAACCCCATTTATTCTACCATTTTTGAAACCGTGCCGAGATCGGTCCAAGCACGGTAACCGAGATGTCTTTTGAGAGTAAATGGCACACACAACTGAAACGGACCGTGCCAGACATGACTGAACCACGCTAAACCAGTACTAGTTCATTAGTAGGGCTCGGCACGGTTCAGTTCTGGCTCGGTTCTTTTTGTTCTCTGAACAAAGAGTGCATGAGCAGACCGCTTCATCTCTTTACAGTCAGCCTCCTTAATCATGAAATTTCCGACGTTCATAAAAATACTAGCTTCCCTACCGTGCCACATGATTTCCAGTGATGATTCTGCTTAGCAGTGTGATGAAACTCGACATCTGTCGTTGTTTCCTGTGCCTGTAAGTCTAGATTAGACTATCGTTTGTCGTGTCCACTTCCAAAAAGCTGACTCTGTCAAGTAAATTCACCAAAAGCTGCCTTCTCTGACTGATTCTACATAAAAACGAAATATAACAATTATAACCAAACTTCCTGAACGCTACGGGCGCCACCATTTTGATTTGTCAGTTTCCCTCTAGGGAGCAGTAGTGCCGTATATCGTCAATAGGAGGCGAAGAACCGTGCTGGCGTGATGTGTAAATAGTCGTAAGGAACCGAGCTCGGCACGGTTAACTGATTCAAGCCCAGTCTGAACTCGGCACAGATCAGTTTTCAGAGGGCACTGTAAATGGGGAGTTAGTTGACTAATTGCAAATGGTTTAATTTCACTATTAAGACAAAAAGATATTTTTTGAGATATTAAAATAGTTCAGCTACAAGCAATGATTCCAGAGAAGCTGCAGAGGTAAAGTTCATGTGAGTCAATCTCCTGACAGGAAGCCATTTATTGTGTGCTCCACAAATCTGGCCTTTGAAGAGGAGCATCCAACGGTAAGTAAAAAAAAAAGGAGTAATTAAAATTCCTGTTTTACGATGGTGCCCTATTCAGACAAGATCAAACCTAGATGTTTTTGTTTAAATGCCAAAGGCTATATGCAAAAAAACTAAAAGCGCACCTCACCCTCAACACAGCATGCCCAGAGTGAAATGCAAAGGTTTCAGCATCATGCTGTAGGAGGAGGAGGATGAGGAGCTAAAATCAGCTAAATATAGACACACTTTTCTATTTTTATACCGATTTACAAAAAAAAAAAATATTCATCATTATCCTTCCCTTCATAATCCAATCTTTCCATACCTGCAGACCAAGGTAAAAATGTTATCAAATTCCACACTTTTCCAGGCTGCATGAGCATTTTTAAAAGGTTAGCGTCAAATATCTGTCCCAGCAAACAACTCCTAATAATTACTCCCCATAATTAGACACAGGGAGAATTAAATGCCACACAAAGGGCTGTTTGTTTCATTAAACCTGGGCTGACAACTCCCCCCACAAAATGTCATTTTATATATGCTTTGACTGTGAGATGTTTGTTTACACGAGCTCCATTACATGCAACGCACTCCTACTGACAAAACAAAAGAGAAAATATTTTCCCCATGACTGGTCCTCGGTTTTATGCGTTTAGCTAAGCAGAGCACATACTTGGCCAATTTCATTACAAATTGCAGAGATGAAAGTGAAACACATTTTATTGTCGGAGCCTGTTGAGAAGAGTAAACTAATAGTTTTAAAATAAAGTAGTAATCCCTCTGGTGGAGTGCACTGACTTAGATTTATTTTGTCATATTTTTTATACACAAATGTAAACAAAAATAATATTTGTGAACAGCTCTCTAGACAATTGCATTTTTTTTAAAGTGCAGCCTTGAAAACAGTTAAAAAGAATACATAAAAACAGTAATAGAAACATATGACTGTATATTTACAGTTCTAACATTTCAGTTTTTTTGTTTGTTTGTTTTTTCATAATAATACTCTGGACAGACTTTTTAAAAACACCTCTGTATCACTACAAATACAATCCGTGGATCATCAAATAAATCTGAATGAAACTATACAAGATATCCAAGTAATCCTTTCACCTAAATTCATCCCCAGCGGTCTGCAATGCATTGCTTACTCCTGCCTGTGATGACAGTTACTGTGTACAGCCGTCAGTATAGGGGTGGCGATATATCGAATATACTCGATGTATGTTGAGTTTTCCCACACACGATAGTGAAAATGACGAGTACAAATTCACAAGACGACATTAAGCCGTCTGCATCCATTTCACAGAGTTTTAGTTTTCCCACACACTTTGAATTCATCATAAAGCCCTCCTCCAAACGTGATTATTTTCTGACCGGCACGCATGCACACCACAGCAATCGGCAAACAAAATATGGCTACAATATAAGGCAGTGGTTTGGATTTGCCGCCGGGGATGTCGAACAAAAGGCGCTAATTTGTAAGATGTGCTGCAAAAAACATTTCTGCAAAAAGTAGGAGTACAAATTTATTCCATCACCTTAAAAGTAATCCGCTGCAAAATTAAGAATGTTGTAAACACTGCATGTCAGCGTCCCGCTGCACACCAGATAAAATGTTAAAGACATCAGCTGTGAAGCCGATGACTTTGGCCACGTGAAAAAAAAAACAAAGCGACCCTATATAAGAGGAAAAGGAGGAGATGGAGGGAAATCATAGACGCTATATATTACATTATTTAAATGTTTCTAAGAAGCTCTAATACCTGTGATGTGATGTGGTCTTATTCAGGTTTTGCAGATGTTCTCTAAACTTGGCAATGTTCTCAAATTTATAACTTTTTGTGCTTCAATTCCCAGCACATAAAAATCAGTGCAAATAGTTTGAAGATGCTCTTATAATGCTCTAATTTTTGGACGACATTTCCACTTTTGTTTTTCTAATTTTAGGTCAATTTTCGTTTTTCATTCCGCTTTTTTTTTTGTATGCACAGAAGAGCCTTTTTTATTTTGATTTTTATTTAGTATTGCGTATTTTTTGCTTTGTTTCCTGTTTGGTTGCTGGGATCTTCTTAAAGGTCTAATACTGACACCCAAAGACATAATGTGGTGGAATTATTAATGAAAAGCTTTGAGCTGATTAAACTAAAACTAAATTGGAAACCACAAGTTTGAGTGAGTATATCAGTGCAATTTTATGCACTCTTGTTTTTGAAGGCAATTTAAATATATCGATATATATAACATGTATGGCAATATAGCCCAAATATATTGTGATATTACATTTCCTTCATATCGCCCAGCCCTACTTCAGTATGAGTTATTAATAAAAAACAGAATGTAAAACCCTTCATTTGTATTATTAAAGATAAAGATGATGATAATATTCAATTTTAATTCAAACATTGATCCGTAAATTCTAGTTTTCCGCTTCATATGACACATTCATCAAAGTGTCAATGTGTTCAACTTTCTTAGAAATGTTACTGAGGTGATGTCCTGTAACTCACCAGAAGGACTGAATAGAAGCCTGGCTGTGTCTCCCACTGTCGGAGCTGCTCCTCTGCAGGCTTCAGCACAGCTGTGTCCTGACTGGTCGCTTGAGTCAAGGCCTGCAGCACCACTGAACTGGCACTGTCCATATCCATATCTTGATATGCCTGCAGGGTGTTATCAAGACAGGGAAGCAAGACAGTTAAACACAGGAAACAGGAGAAGGGGGAAACTTTTGGTTTGCTTGAAAGAAAACTTTTATTATTTTATGTGGGGAAAGTAACCCAACATCAAGAGGAAACTGGAGGAGTCGATATGCATCTACAAAGGACGTGAAAGAATGAAACACTTGCTTGTAGCTTATGTGACTGGATTACTTCACCCCCTTTTCATCACAGATCAAGCAGCACGGAAACCTGTCCCGTACTCGGTGAAAAAGCCACAGATCTCGAATAAAGAAAAGCATACCTAGCAGAAACAGTTGGAGTCGTCTTTGCCGTGCAAACGCTTGCTGTATGTCCCAGATATTATTCAAGCACCCCAGATTCACAAGTCCAAAGGAGTTTTTTTTTTCCCCGTCTCAAAGAACAAGCCTGACTAATTTGCCTCTGTGCCACAGATAAAAGGAATTGTCAGATACAAAGATAAACTGCTGCATAACCAGAGCTGCACTCAGATCCTGCTTTTATCTTTTTAGAGAGGAAAAAAAACTCCCCTGTAAACACACTGCAACTATAACTTCACCACACCTAATAGAAGCACATGTTAGTATACTTCTATTAGATCTGAAAATGTTAAAAACATGATGGATAATCATTGCTTTTTTTAATGTTGGTTGTATTGTTTGATTGGAAGAGAGTAGGATCAAAAAATTGAACAAGGCTGCCATCTACAGACCAGAAACTGTTATTTAGTCCCATGTAAAAAAGGTCTTTAGAAATTGCAAAGACATAAGGATAAGACATTTTCTGGGGACAACATTACAATAAATATATGGCAACTGATTTGGACCCCTAAAAAGTAAGTGAAGAGTTTAAAAAAGAAAACGTAATAAATCCTAAAGGATTTTTTGTTTTAAATATGTCAACAGGATTCTACCAATTTACAGCATTAGATATTAATGAATTAGAATGGCTTATTGTGTGCAGAAAACAACCGCATTTTAAAACAGGAATACAATTTAGAACTTAGGTCCAATACAAGAGAATAAAACAGAACTTAATTATTTTAAATCATACAGGTGCACTTCCATTTAAAAGGTAATTTCTGATATCTATATTGAATCAGGACATCCTCATCTAACACGGATATGGAATTATGGTGTTACAAAAAAAAACATTATTTATTTTATTTTTTTAAATCAAGCCGCAGAAGAAAAAAAAATTCAAGCAGATTGTCATTAACCCAGTAAAAGTCATGTTAAAAAAGCTAACTTCTAACTGTGTGTATTTATGCTTTTTATGGGGAAATTTAGTGACAGTTTCTGTTAGAAAAGCTGACAGCAGCACAGTGTAAGAGAAGAGAGAAAGGAAACAGCAAAGGGACAACAGATAGATTTTGATTCATTGACAAAATAACCTTAAACATGATGATATTACTTGATTTTAAATTTATAAATTTCTTTTCAGACTGTAGTTACAACTCTGTGGTTACAGAAATTTCGAAATGTAATTTAAACTAGGCTAATTACCAGTTATTCACATTCTACAAGAGCATCTTTCAGTATACCTTTGTTGACCCGCTTGATAAATTTAATCTGCTCTCATAAATGCTGTCAGTCTGGAAGAAATCTGGTTCTTATTTGAAATTGTAAAGGTTAATTTTTATTTTTTTTGCAACATAAAACTGACTAAAACTAAAACCTTTTTAAGTTTTAGTCGAATAAAACAGACTAAACTATCACATATCGTAATGACTAAAATGCGACTAAGACTATTAATGATTTTTGTCCTATAGACTAAGACTAAATCTAAAAGCGCTGTCAAAAAACAAAACTGCCCTCAATGATAAAATAGTATGTTTGAGTAGAATTGTATTTAAAAAAATACAAAAAATACAAAAAAACAAAGATGGCCTTGATACAATTGTCTAGCAAACTCACTGAAACATTTGGGCTACTGTTGTTAAAGGTTTAGTCACCAAAACCGGACTGCTACATTCACTGAAGTCCTTTTTTCAGATAAAATTAAACTGTAGATATAAAGATCTAAACTTTAAAATCTAGTTATGAAATGGAGAGGCACCAAAAACCAGTCCTTTGGGGCCCAGCACATCAGTAACACTAAACTTAGGGTTTTAATTAACTCTAAGCCATAAGAATCAATTTCAACTGAATTCCACACTTGACATAATTCAGTTGAGGTGTAATAAACCTATACAAATTACATTTTCTGAAGGTTTTTCCCACAAGGAACTTTGTTGGCACCTTTCCAGTTTACCTTCTAAACTGCAGACTTTTCCATTAACTCCCCTGGCTTCTAACTTCCAAAGTCCTCATTCCAATTGGGCACAATCGGCCTCCTCACATGACAGGAAAACCGAGTACAGATGGTGGATACAGTACTTTGTGGAGTGCTGCCAGCAGAACATCTCTAGATTAAAAGAAAAACCTTAGGAGCTGGTCATAGATTTCAGAGTGGTTGGCACAGATCTATCACACTGACACCAGGGGCCATCCACTCAACAGAAAGTGAGATTTTGTTTTTTTTCCCTCTGTTGTTAAGGCTTTCCCACTTGCCCGCTGTTATATTTCAATTTCCCTGACTGTGAGACAAGAAGTAGTATACTGAGGACCAGAGCTGAAACAATTATTCAGATGAATCAATTATTGAAATAATCATCAGCTAATTTAGTAATCAATTAATTGTTAACTTGAGTATAGAGACTGTAAAACAGGCCTTTAGCTACAGAGCAACCCGCTTAGAGCAGTAATTATACCAAATTGTTAAAAAAAAACATATATATAAAAATTTGTTTTAGAATTTTTGCATTTAAGAAAAAAAAAGATAAAAAACTTTTAGCATATTTTATTATATGCTCTATCCAGAACTTAAGTGGAAAATTTTTTGTTTGACTTAGTTTAACTACATAAAAAGTCTTCTTTAAGGAACCTTTTTGCTATCCGATTATTAATCAATTCATTAAAAAAATAACCACCCGATTAATCGATTTGCTAAATAATTGTTAGTTGCAGCCCTACTGAGAAACATACGTAAAATGAACAATATGCACAACCCTGATTATTCTCTTTATCTGTCAAAGGACAACAGTGTTCTGAGATCCGCTGCTACAGGAGATGCATTAAGTCATCAGCATCTACAACAAATCATTGAAGAAACCCCTATATTATGAGTTAAAACATTGAATTTCCCCTCTAGGATGGATTAAGTATTTTTGAGTAGTTCAATCAAATAAAAGTTTACTCTATAATTTCATATAAAAATATAAAAATTTGTTATAAAAACATAAAAATGTCATATCTGTAATTTATTGAGATGTATCTGCAGTTTCAGCTGAAGACTAATTCTAAGATTTGAAGTTGATCGTTTCTCAAAGGATGTTGCTCAACAAGCAAACACTCAGATCAGCAACTGCACCATACAGTCTATGTACAATAGTATAATTTAGTTGAAATTGGCTCGTATTTTTTGCAGACTATTTCATAACGGCTCAAGAGAACTATGAATATCACAATGTTTTTATTTATGTTTGCCACAGTGTCATCAATGTGCAGTTTTTTAGTTTATTTCACCACACTTTTATTAAGTGAGTGACTTTTAACAAGATAACCACCCAGTATAAATCAATATCTATTAGTATAACCAAATTCTGCTACTTCTACAACGACTCCTACTATGACCTTTTGCTGCTGTAATGCCACAATTTCCCCATTGTGGGACAATAAGGGGATTTTCTGTTCTATTCTACTATAAAAACTATTTCCCATCACAGTATTTGAACTAGGGATGCACCGATCCGATATTTTTATTGGCATTGGTCCAGATATAAAGAAAAAAAACTAGATCGGTATCGTTGACAATTGACTTGATATAGGGGCCGATCTATTCATTCTAACTTTATGCTAACTAGGGCTGGGCGATATAGAAAAAAAGCTTATCGATAAAAAAAAATGCATATTGATCGATATCGATAATTATTGAAAAGATTTGAAACCATATTTTATGTGCAGCTCTGCCTGGACTTTTTATAATATTGCTAAATGATTTAATTTTAATAAAAAACACAAACACAGACTTCGAATTAAATCTTTATTTAACCAACTTTTTTAACCATAACAGAATTGTTTTAAAGGAAAATAATTAAGAGACCTGGGTTATGTTATTAAATACTGACAAAGAATACACTAAAGTGACCAGAAAAGTGACCAAAATAAATATAACAAATAAATAAATGCCCCCCCACCGCCGCCGCCAAAGCCCCCCCCCCCCCCGTTTCCTGCTTTATTTTCCCGAAATTCCCAAAGATTCCTCGGAGGGGAGCCGCGTCGGGGACTACACAGCTCGTACTCCTGCGGGTGTGAGCGGCTGAGATGATAAAAAAAAAGTTGGTGGTTGTGTTATCAGACTTGGTTTTCATTGGTTCCCGACACATTTTACAGATGACTGTGGTTTGTTTTTTGTCCAACTTGCCATGACCGAAAAACTGCCAGACTGGCGAACTACAAAAACTTCTTTGGAACAATTTCCTCCGCCTCTCCTTGCTGCGACATCTTCATGTGCTCTGTGTTGTGGTGTGAGAGGGCGGTGCTTTGTGACGGCGTGCCTGGGTCCGCGATTGTGATTGGCTGGGAGGAAGTAGTGACCAGCATAAACTTACATGCTAGGCTACAATGAGAAGGAAGGAAAACTGCGTTTCTTTTTTATCGAACTTTTATCGACCCTCTTTTTTTCTATTGCGCCACACGTCTATTGATCGATATATATCGTTATTGAATTATCGCCCAGCCCTAATGCTAACTAATGCAACAAGATAACACAATGGATCGAGCGAAAGGATCTGTGGTGTGGTTTTTCATGCTCTCTCAGCCTACTAGCCCAATGGCTACATGCAATATTTGTTGGAGAAATGTTCCAAGGGGCGGTGTTAAATCTTCAAACTACAACACCACCAACTTAATGAAACACCTCCAAAAGTTTTATAACAAGGAACATGCCGAGATTAGCGGACTCGGCAAACAAAAAGGAAGTAGCGGGAAGCAGCTAACTTTGATGGAAAGTAAAGAAGTGAAACTTTTACCATGTAAAAGTATACAGGCCAACAAAAATAACAGATGATACTTGATAATGATAATGACACTTTTCTTTACATGTTGACCAGGTCAGAGAACTTTTTGTTTAAGATTTTATGCACAGTTGTTAAATAAATGAGTCATAACATTTATATTTGGGTTGTTTCCTATTTTTTATTTTTTAAGAAAAAGGAAATCAAATCATATGCACAGAATGATCCCATTTTTTTTTTTTTAAACAATAAAAGCATTTTTTAGGTAATAATTCAGTGCTGTTTTATCGGTATCGTGTCGGAGGTGAAAAAAGTGGATTGGTGCATCCCTAATTTAAACACATTTTTTTAATCACCTGAATATCACAACTTGGAGCTCTCAGTGTTAAAACAATCCAAAGATATGAGGAGGGGAGCCACCTCAGATGTAAAAGAATAACATTCAATGTTAATCAATGTTTCCTATAAGCTGCACGCTTGTGCACTTGAACATTACTCGTGCATTCTCAGTGCTTGAAAATATATGCAGTGCGTAAGATAAAACAAACTGTATTAAAGCAATAACATTTTCTCTGTATCATTTTGAATCCATGTTACATTTCTTTTTTTAACTTAAAACCAAAAAAAAGAAAGAAAAAAGAAACCAAATATTTAGGGAATACGTTCATCACAGTTTTGGTTTTTATATCATCTTTGAGACCGCTATCACAAAGCCTGCTGGAAGCTGGATGTGTCAGTCTGCTCTACTAGAAATTAGCTGTTGTGGAAAACTCTTTAATCCCTATTTTTTCATAATAAAAATATTAGATTTAAGAGTTGTATTTGGATGAATTTGCTTAATAAAATGTGAGTGTGCTTTAAAAATAAAGGTTCAGCAGGTGGCATTCCGCGCATCAAAGATCACTACAGATGCATAAATAAATGATAAAACAATAAGGATACATGGCGGTCCTTAACATTTATCAGTCTAAGCTTTAAGAGCAATAAAATTCAGTGGTTTGTAGCAGCCCTGCTATCCAACATGCACACATTTTAAGACACACCTCTTCGCTGCACAGCAGGATGCTTTTTTGGAGGGGATATATTTACGTATATGATAAAGCAAAAACATAAACAGAGGTCAATCTGCCCATTTTCAGATACAATGGTTGCAGCACTTAGATCCTGAAGCGGCATATTTGGACAAAAACTGGAGAAGTAATCTAGAGAATCTAATTCTAAGTCAGCTTTGTTCATCTCTTTGTGATATTTATTAAGATATTTCTTATTCAAGGATATTAATTATGAAATGCCTTGACTATTATACAATTTATGTTAGTAGAAATGCTAAAAAAAAAACTGTGTAACTAAATATTATACAGAGTTATAGGAATTTATACTGTATCACAAGCTTCTGCTTGCATTTCATTGTGCAAAATGTGAATGTTTTAATGTAAGCGAATAGTTATGTCCGAAAGGCTTAACGTCTCATTTCTTCCAGAGCAGGACCCTCGCCCTCACTGTTACATATAGTAAAATAATTTTGTTACTTTGCTTGTTATGTGGGCCAAATCTTGTAAATTAAAAAGTAAACCAATGAAAATTGCTGCTTTAATCTCTTATTATTTTAATAATCACTGTAACTAGCTACAATCCTGGCTGTGTAACAAGTCTAATATCAGTGTGAGGCCTCAGGTTGCACATGTGATGTTGCTCATGATGGTACTGAGTTTTATTCAGGGGGATTGTGTGCATGTCCAGAGTTGAAAAATTAGAGGGAACATTGGTAGTAATGGTTTGTATTTCTAACAGAGACCGTACCGCCGTTGCGATTTCCGGAACAGTGGTCCATTTTTGATGACAAAAAAGACTATATCCGTCTTTTAATAAGCTCTGAGCTGAAAACCCAGCATAACCTTGCCAGTACTGCCCGTTCTTTTACAACGGATGAGGAGTTTTTTTTGTTTTTTGTTTTACTTTTTTTTTTTTTATCTCTGCCTGCCGATCGACCAAAACAGCACCCAGTTCCATCCTGGCCAGACGCCCTGTAAAAGCTGCGTTAGTGCCCCAAAAGGGCGGACATAAGTTCCAGACCCGCTGGGGAGAAGCCCCCCCACCATTACAACCGCTCACAATGGAGACAGACTCAAATCCATCCTCTCCCCTCCCATGGGACAACCACAAGTTAAGATACCAACTGATATTTTTATATCAATATATTTTATATATTGGTCGCCATTCCCATCCTCGTAAATGTATATTGTATATAGCTATAGATATTCTGTATATATGTCTAATTTGTCTGCACCATCAACCCCAAGTCAAATTCCTTTAAAGTCCAAACCTACTTGGCAATAAACTTGACTCTGATTTTTGTTTTATCATCTTTTTTTGTGTTTTTCCTCATTTGTCCCGGTGTGCATTTCTACAGTCCAAGCTTACTCTGTTATACATGCTGCCGCTCGACAAGCTGTCATCGTCTGTCATCTTATGGAAGGCAGCTGGGTTTATGGCCCACAGGTATTTCCATGTTTTAGCGTGGTAGCACATCTTGTGATTACCATCCTAGTCTAGCTGCTAACATACCAGAATTAATATGACATAGTAGCGTGCTATCGGTTGCCGTGGCAACGGAGGTGGTGCGTTCCCCACATCACTACTTGTTCTCATACACATTTGAGTGATTTCACATCTAATGCATTGCATATATTGGCAATGGTTTATTAGTTTAAGTTAAAGTTGATTGATTTAAATGTTACCCTATGCTACTATGGAACCACTGTCACACATCTGATTTTTATATCAGTCATGCTTCTGGACATCCCCTCAGTGGATCACAATAGCAGAGTTAATGGACTAAAATATCAAAGACTCTACCTCAAGAACTCATTTAAAACTCTTATGTTTACTGATTATTTCATGTATTCTGTTTATTCCAGTAGCTTGTAGTTTATTAAACATAATATTACTGTGATGGGGATTATTAGGTTTAATACAGCAACCATTTTTATCTTAAATGTGGTAGCAGCTTGTGTATGAGAGCTGAATCAACTTTTTTTGAGCTAACAACTTGAATAGACAGAGACAAATATTTTCCTTGTGGTTAATGATTAATAACTCAGCTTGAATTATAAATCAAGTTATTGATATTTAGTGAAGATGAATACATCTTTGATTTTAAACAACCGGTCCAAAACATCCAGCCACAAAGGTTAACCATTAATAACACCTGGTAATTGAGCAATTTATAAGTTATAGTTATTTAATTAATGATTATTACTTGGTTTTACCCTTGATTTGAATGACATGTTAAATAACTATAACTTCCAGTTCTAGTTAATATCATATTCATAATTTGCTGGTTAAATTGCACAGACAAGGTGTCATTTGATCAAATTGCAGCTATCATTGCAACATAACCATGAGCAACACTGCAAAGGGTTACATAGATGCATTATTTGAAAGCATATTTCAAATGCCACTAAGAGTCTTAGTATCCCCTTGGCTTCACCTGATATAGAGCTTAGTGACAAAGACTGAGAAACCCACAGAAAGCACTGAGGATATGATGACGATGGAAAAAGAATGAAGAAAGTAAAGGTGGATTGGTTGGCATCAGTATCCAGATTATGCTACATTCAACAATAGCATTGCATTTTTCTAAAAAAAAATCAGAAATATTCTGAGATTAAAGTAAATGACACAGAAAGCTGCAAACCACGAGAACTATAAATCATGATTCACAGATATTTATACAAGTGTTTCATGAGGTTCAAAAACTAGAAAGCCTGAAGTTATCAAAAGGTAAACAGTCTGTCAACAGAGTGAGTTGTCATTTACTCATTTTCAATAGTTGCAAAGCAGAAAAAAACCTGCTCATAGAACCAATGCAAACATCCTCTCCCATGTCATCCTCTGACATGGGAATCGGCTCTGAGCTCGTCTGCCTGGCTGTGTGTTTCCTGGACGGCGCCGCCTTTTACAGTTGCTTTTTATACTCTGCTTCTGTCTCCTTGAACCCCAGCCAGCCTCGGCAGATGGCTGCTCAAACTGAGCCTGGTTCTGCTGGAGGTTTAAAAAGGGAGTTTTTCCTCTCCACTGTCGCTACAAGCATGCTTAGTGTGAGAGACTGCATTTGAGTCAATGAGTCGATGTAATCAACTGGTTTACCTTTGATAGAAATTTTTGAATAAATTTGACTGTATGATCTGGTGAACTGTAAAGTGCCATAAGAAGTGTTGTGAATTGGCGCTATATAAATAAACTGAATTGAAATTGAATTGAACTACTGACATATGCTTGGAAATGTACAAAAACAAATTTTCAAAGTATCTGATTAATATGTGTTTCAATAAAAAAATGAGTTTTGTTTTTGATTTTGATTACAACTCAGATGTTTTAATCCAATGCAAAGCAGTTAGATATTTAAAGCTTTCTGCAGACAGCAGGATCCTAGCCGATTCGCTGTTACATTATACTCCGAGTGTATTTGACCAGGCCCATATTAAAGCTTTTATTATTTAACGTGTTTATGTAACAGTGTCATTTATGTTAGAGCAAAGCTGAGACAGTTTCTAGCTTGAAAACATTACCCATTCTGAGACGTGAGTTATCAAAATATAGAAAAGACTGCCATTAGCGATATTATTACAGCTCGCTTCACGTGTTACCAATTGCTACGATACAAAAAATGTTTAGTTGTGGATGAATTTCACATCGCTTATACTACCAAACGTCACAGCTAACTTTCAGCTAACAGCAAGCTAAACTTCTACATACGAGTGTGAACGTTGGAGCTGTCCACTTATTATACGTCATGTAATCAAAGGTGTGAGGCTAGAAATGGGTAACATTAGCTCACCTCAAAAACTGCCCACAGAAAAGTGAAAGTGAGGTTGTAACGACTGCGTCGCTGTAGGAGCTCTGGCAGAGGTTTCAATGTAATAAGCGATGAAAAAACACGCTGGTTAGAGTGGCGCGGCTTGTGCAGCTGGCGCATGCTGATGACGTAAAAGCATGCACGGATTCAAGGGATACTCGGTAAATAATAATAATAATAATAATAATAATAATAATAATAATAATAATAATAATAATAATAATAATAATAATAATAATAATAATAATAATAATAATAATAATAATAATACAATAAAGTAAGAGAAATTTCTTATAAAATTATTCATAATGTTTATCCTTTTAAAGCATTAAAAAAGGTATAAATGGAATTTGGACCCAATGTGTACTGTTTGTAAAAAATTATGAAGAAAAGCTTATTCATCTTTTTTTTTGGGATTGCAATTATACCAAAATATTCTGGAGAGATATGTCGATTTTTTTTTTTCATCAAAAAAATCTTAACATTATTTTAACAGCTAAGGATATTTTGTTTGGGATAGAGAAATGGGAACTCGTCAAAACAGAACTTTTATTTGTTATACATTTATTTTTTTTATTTATGGTAAATATCATATTCACACATCCAAATATTTACAACAAAAACTTAATTTACAGATTTTATTATCTTCTATTAATATCGATATGGAATCCTTAGAATTTAGTTCAAATGCTAAAGCCATGCAAATTCTAACTGCCCTTAAAGAATTATTATAACCCTTGAGCATAGATTAGATTTGATTTTGATATTTTAAAATTATAATTCTGTTCTGTAAAGCCCTTTGTTGTTGTATATGTTTGTAATTATTAATGTTCTATATTGTTCATGTATGTTCCTTTTTTGCAAAAAAAGAAAAGAAAAGAAAAAAAATACTCGGTCATTTTAACTATTAATGGGACATGGAGGACCAACTCTTCCATATTAAAAAATAAATGCATAAATAAATAAATGCCCAATAAATAAATTAATAAATAAGCATTCAATCAATTGCTCCAAAAAATACAATAAACAAAATAATGTAGGAAGGAATTAAATTATACAGTGAGACATAAATGCATGAATCTCTTTTAATTAGCTTGTTTATTTATTCACCTTTGTAATAATTACCTTATTTATTATTGTACCTTATAATCTTACACTTAATTTATTTATTACTTATTTTTTTAAGTATTTATTTATGTAAATGTGATAATACTTTTTGTCTGTTTTATTCGTCCTTTATGTATTTTTTTATCTCATTTATTTCTTCAACATTATTTACTTATTTTCTGCCCGTCATTTTTTTTTTTTCATTTCTGTATGCATTTCTGCCTCATAATGAGAAAGGGGTTGTGTCTTAGAGGGTCCATACTTAAATACTCAATAACTATAGAGTCATACAATTAAATGTGCAAATAATATATCAATCAGGCTCCATGACTACTTTTTTCTCATTTTTATCTAAAATATGCAAGGACAAAAATACAATATTGTTCAAACTATCCCAGACAATTGTAATATCAAAAAAAAAGTAAAGAAAAAACAATATTATGTTTTATAAAATTTAAAACATTGTTATGAATTCAAATTATTCTTTGATAGTTGTATGCAGAATTTATTAAAAAAAAATGTGGATATTGTTGATTACAAAGTAAAAATTTTATAGACCTTTTTTATAGAACAATTTCGGTGATTACCTGTCTATTTAATTGTCCAATTGCACCATACCTGGTGTTAAAGCAAAATCTCTGACCAATCAGAAACTCTTACTGTAGAGAGCAATAGTAGCCTAGTAAACTAGCCCCACCCGCCAGCGGCCAAAAATCGTTTGTGCCTGCGAGTGGGTGTAGCCTCGATCAATGGCCCAGGCCCTAGAACTGGCGGGCCAATCACAACACAGAGATGTGTTTTGAATTTCTGGATGCAAAGCGGGCGGGGTTTTGAGGGTGAGACAACAAAGTTACACGAAAAAGCATATTAAGGAAGAGGGCAACAACTACTGAACAGTTCTCGTTTGACTCAGCTTTGGTATCAGTTTTGGAAGGATTAGACTTGGGGTTTTCGTTGAAACGTGAGCGGGAATAGGCTCTACGTTCATTCATTTTTACGAAGGATGTATTCACCGCTTTACCGACAGGCTGTTTGTTTACACTCCCCCACCAGCTTTCTGTCGCATTTACTACGTCACAGTCAGTTGTGCTCATTGGTCAGAGTGTTGGCCAATAGGCACAGATATGGTTTGAAAAATAACGGGTTGTTCTCATCAACAATCTTCCGATGTCTCATTCATCGGGGCCAGACTAAATTACATATTTAGTCTGGTTTATCAGGCTAGAACAAAAGCATTTTACTGCTGATATGTCCCAAAAACAGGCAAGAAGAATGGAGGAGTTTAAATATCTTGGAGTCTTGTCACAAATGAGGGGAAGATGGAGCGGGAGGTCGACAGGCGGATCATTGCAGCCTCTGCTGTGAAGCGAGCGCTGTACCGGTCTGTTGTGGTAAAGAGAGAAAATTTTCAAATATCAGTATATTTCTGTGTAATTTTCAGAATAGTTTTAATGAACCTTGTATCTTTCAGAAAGCACCTGTAAAGAACTTCAGCATAAAAATGGCACAAAAACAGTTATTGTGATCATTATTTCTTATTTAAGAAACAAACCAAATAAAAAACAGAAGTGTCTCAATTCTGCCCTGGGATGGACTAGCAACCTGTCCAGGGTGTACCCCGCCTCTCACCTGTAGACAACTGGAGATGGGCATCAGCATCCCTCGTGATCCCAGCTAGAATTAAGCATATCAGAAAATGGATGGATGGATGGAGTTTCTCAATTCTCCCCACATTTTACTATGGAATAGATGTTTAAGGTTGAATCAATTACTACAATGATATACTGCAACTCTGATTTGAGATCTCATCCTACTGAACTTGGTCACATGGCAACAACTCACAGCTAGATAAAATGTATAAACTACAAATAATATCGGCCCTGAGTTTCTCACATTTGTGGAACTTCATACAAATATCCAAATCATTAGTATCCAAATCCAGTCCTAAGGGCTGCTATCTGCCATATTGATAATTGCATTTCAAAAAAGGAAAACAGCAACAGCAGATTACAAAGCAAAGCTGAACCAAAAGAAATAAAGTAACTAGCAGCTTCTTCGAAATGTTGTTAAAAAGTACACTATTTGACTTTGAAATGTACAGGAGTGAAAGTTATAAACACTGCCTCTAAGTATTACTCAAGTAAAGTAAAGATAGTTAAAAAAGTACTTAAGTACAGTAATCAAATAAATTTACTTTGTAAGTAAGTAAGTAAGTAAACTTTATTGCTATAGCACTTTTCACAGACCAGGGTCACAAAGTGCTGCACAAATTTATAAAACGTTTATATAAATTAAAACAACATACAGAAACAGTAAACACAGTATTAACCTCTTACACCCTAAGGGGGTATAAATAAATTTCTGCCTGACAAAAACACACAAAAGTAAATAACTTATAGCCTCAAAGCTATTAGATTTAAGAAGAAACTTTTGGTACGTCTGTAAAGGTAAGATGTCATAGAAGGGTTTTCTGGTGTTAGCACCATTGTAGCTTTGACCCTGCCTGAAATATTAGGGATAAAATACAAAATATTTTGCATTTTTTGAACCTCGCCAAAATTTTCTTTGAAATAAACATTGCAAAACACTACCAAAATATTATGTATAGCACAAAAAAGTAGTACAGACTTTTAAATCTAAATGTTGTGTAAAAATATACAAAATGTGGACTCAATCAGATGAATCATATTTATTTTAGAATGGTATTAGTGAGAAATTTCTTAGGCGGAGAGGCCATTTTGGCACATTTATCCATAAATGTCACCAAACTGTGCCAAATATGTTTTTTACATCAATACTGGGGGTTTGGTAAAGTTACGAGGTCATGTAGCAGCTGGACCCGCCGGCGGGTCCGTAGGGTTCAAGGGGTTAAACTAAAAAACAAGTTTAAAAAAGTGGATCTTTTGTTGTTTCTTAAAAGTGTCTATACAAACTTTCTTTTGGGTTTTCGTGGGGAAAGGGGTTCAAAGGGGTTCAAAGCTGTTTCAAAGAGTCCTGCACCTCCTTGCTGTGATTGCAGCTCATTTATTACAACATGGAACTATCAAAATGCCAGGTTTTCCTAGGTCACCATTTCTGAAAATTTTCACTCTTAGTTGATATAAATAATGTCAAAGTTTATTTATCACAACAATTTGTCACAGAGAATTCTGCAACACTACAGGTTATCTTTCTAGAGTGAGGGAATTAGGGGGTTGGTAATGCATTTAAAGAGACCAGTTTATCATAAGTTTTTCATTTGAAATCTTGTTATTCTTCATAAGTTTAAGTTGTATTAATACATTTTTTTCTGCATCCCCTTGTTCATTGTTCCCTTTAATTGTGTTTTTATACAGGCCACTGTATTAACATTAGCCTAACATTTGCTATGACCTGGCACAGAAAAAGAATCCACTGATTTATCATTATGATCATTGTTATTACCGGTATTTACAGAACTAATCTGTGCCTTTGTCATTTCTGTGGAAATTGTTAGAGAAGCCTAAAATACGCAAGACATAAATACTTACATGGACAGAATACTGAATGTTATTGGACAGGATGAAGGGTTTAGCACACTCTGACCATGAGCTGTGATCTCTTGAAACATACACTGAGAGGAGGAGCTTCAAAGCAGATCCTGGATCTCTTATCTCCTGCTCTAAAAACCCTGTGTCAATGCACACCTTTTTCTGTGGATTTAGAATTGGTAACTTTTAGGGGCATCCACTCAAATGTCCATCCTTGATGGTAAAGAGGACCACACTCTAAACTATGTTCAAAAGTTTAGTAAAGCATGCAGCCTACTTTTTGTATAAATATTCTGTACTTGATGCATCATTCAAACCTCACTAGTGACATCTGCTGTTGGACAGAGGCTGTAAAAGAGTTCATACTTCAACTATTAAAACAGGGCAGTGTTTGCAAATGAGAATATTTTTTCCAAACCCATGCATTATTTCTTTTCCATTTTCAAAGCAAAACGCTGCTAATATGCTGATGTTTGCGGTAATAGTTTTCTCCAATGATTTCTGTAATGCACTGATTTGATTAGAAAGATGCGCTGTAAGCTTTGTGTTTGACCGAAGAGTCAAACAGCACTAGTAAAGTCACTATTTATATCATGGCCTCATATAAGAGACCTGTATCTGTACTTGTTCTGTCAGATCTCAGTGCTGCATTTGATACAGTTGATCTTAAGATTTTTTTTAAAAAGACTTAAACATTTAATTTGAATTAAGGAGTCAGCTCTAGGATGCTTAGATTCTATTTCTCTGACACAATTCAGTTTGTCGATGTTAATGATGAATTCTCTTCAAGCTCGAGGGTTACCTGTGGAGTACCACAGAGATCAGTGCTAGGGCCAATGCTCTTTACTACAGTGAGGAAAATAAGTATTTAAACATCCTGCTATTTTATAGCTAAAAATCGTTTTTTTGATTTTTTTTTTTTTTTTTTAGATTATGTCTCTCACAGTGGACCTGCACCTACGATGGACAATATCAGACCCTTTCATGATTTCTCAGTGAGAGAACTTGCAAAATAGCAGCGTCTTCAAATAATTATTCTCCTTACTGTATATATATGCTCCTAATTAGTGGAATTATTAGACAACATGGGATTCATTTCCACTTTTATGCTGATCATACTTAGATATATCTGTCTATAAATCCAGATGAAGCTAACCCATTAAATATTTTAAAGGCATGTCTTGAAGATATAAAAATCTGGATGACTATTAACTTTCTGGTCCTGAATGCAGACAAAACAGAATCTATTTGGCTTTGAACCAGAGTCTTTGAAAAAAAAGGCTGATTAGTCAGTCACTTCATTAGGATGGGATTAAATTGATCACAGAAAATAAAGTTGTTGTTTTTTTTATCAAGACCTGTCATTTAAATCCAAAATCAAAGAGGTTTCTAGAATTTCCTTCTTTGCATCTGCTTTCATCAATATTGCAAAAATTAGAAATATCCTGTCCAGGGTTGAAGCTGAGAAACTAGTCCATGCGCTTGTTTCCTCAAGGCTGGACTAATGTAATTCTTTACTATCAGGAAGTCCACAAACTATAGATAAAACCCTTCAGCTGAACCAAAATGCTGCAGCCAGAGTTCTGATGAAAATTAAAAATAGAGATCATAACTCTCTCTCTCTCAAAAATCCTCTTTTTAACCAATCTGACTGTATGATCTGGTTGAATTGTCTCTTTAAAGTGGGTTGAGATGACACGTGTTGTGAATTGGTGCTATATAAATAAACGTAAGTAAATTTATTTGAATTACTATATGTAGAGATCATGCTCAATGGCGCAGTGGGTTCTGGGTTTGATTCCCGGCCTGGGGTCTTTCTGCATGGAGTTAGCATGTTCTCCCTGAGCATGCGTGGGTTCTCTCCGGGTACCCGGCTTCCTCCCACAGTCCAAACAAATGACTGTTAGGTTAATAGGCTTCTCTACAGTCCCCTTAGGTGTGAGTGTGTGTGTGAATAGTTGTTTGTCCTGTTTGTCTCTGTGTTGCCCTGCGATGGACTGGCGACCTGTCCAGGGTGTACCCTCTTGCCCATTGACTGCTGGAGATAGGCACCAGCACCCCTCGTGACCCCAGGTGGGATAAGCGTGCTAGAAAATAGATGGATGGATGTATCATCATTATAATAATTATATTACCAATGATCACAATCACGTGTAGATAACTACAACATTTAGTTTGTTCTAGTGTAGAGCTTTCCCACAAGCTCTAAGTGGATGCCGATGCATTGTTAACCTTTAATCTGAGTATAATAATACATCCAATGGCCAAATTTGTGTTCACAAAAAAGAAAATTCATATTGGTTTCCCATCACTCACATCACAATCAGCACTTCAAACAACAGCCACTCTATGTGAAAATCTAGGGGAGGACAGAATAAAAAATAAAATAATGGTAGTCTCTGCAAATTTTTTCTTGAAAATATAAAAAGAGGAGCGTAGTTTGGCTAGTCAAAATTTCTTAATCGCTCTAACAGTGCATCTGACTACTCTAGCTGTAAAGGTAGGTAGGTAAAAGGTTTGTTTAGTTCAACAGAAAGACAGCCTCTGAACAGGATGAGTGCAGTGTGCCGACAAGTTAGCTGGTATCTGATCAATATAAAGTCTTTTTATTTTTTTTATTCAAACCTGGGAATTTTTCTTATCATGATAGAAAATTAGTCTAGGCAATGGAAAAAAATTTAAGTAAATGTCAAGGAAATAACAGTTCACAAGAAAAACCTACCAGGAAGCAAAACGTGGCTGACAGTTGACTATTAAATATTAGTGCACAAAACAAGGCAATTATAAACCCGTTATAGTTGCCTCAAGACAGGTCTCTTTCTGTTTCTTAACAGCCCAGCTAAAATACAGCATCTGCAAAGCTATACAGGCAGACATAGATAGATAGATAGATAGATAGATAGATAGATAGATAGATAGATAGATAGATAGATAGATAGATAGATAGATAGATAGATAGATAGATAGATAGATAGATAGATAGATAGATAGATAGATAGATAGATAGATAGATAGATAGATAGATAGATAGATAGATAGATAGATAGATAGATAGATAGATAGATAGATAGATAGATAGATAGATAGATAGATAGATAGATAGATAGATAGATAGATAGATAGATAGATAGATAGATAGATAGATAGATAGATAGATAGATAGATAGATAGATAGATAGATAGATAGATAGATAGATAGATAGATAGATAGATAGATAGATAGATAGATAGATAGATAGATAGATATGCATGTCAGGAAATGTGTTTAAGTGCATGTGTGTGAACAGTTTGTGAAAGGGGGAGTGGCTTCTGGCAGAGTGTTCCCTTCTGTCTTTCAGTCTTTTTTACTAGGCTGAAAAACAGTCCATTGACACAAGACGCATGCGCCTGGAGACTTAAATCCTGAATCACTGCACCAGAAAAACATGGATTTGCTGGAGGCAATACTCACCTTGCTGGGTGCAACAGTTCTTGTCTATTACGGAGGAAAGTTTGTGCTCTTTAGTCGGATGTTTTTTCCTAAATGGTGTTTTCCTCTGTCAAAAACTTTCTTCACCTCTATGGGAGAATGGGCAGGTGAGAAAGTTTTCCCCACATTATGACAAGTATGTCTTGTATATCTGAATGCAATTACATAGATTAATGAGCAGTGTGGTGCATGTGAGTCTGAATATGATCATCAAAGCACTGTGTTTGAGGTCACCCAGGATTGTGAGGTTGGTAGCAAAATATTTGCAGCAAGAGGCCCATTAGGGCTTGTTTATACCTTTCACTTTCATGCAGGACGGTACTTGTGCAATGTCGAAAGTTGAGATGCATGTCCTGACTCTGCTTCAACAGTCTTTTTATAAATTCCTGAATAGCAGCTTTTCACGTTTGCATAAATCAATTTCTAACAAAGGATTTTATTGTAGTTTGCAAATATGTTGTATTACCTAGCTTAAACATGTAACCTAAAAAGTTCCTGTAATTTCACATTTACTGAGCAAAAAAATATCATTATAACTGAGTCATTTTATCACTCAGCCCTCAATTACCATTGAAATCCCTCTGCTGATCCTAGAGCAGCTGAACAAAATTGAGTGATTTACTTTGGCAGCTTCTGAAGTGTTTATTCAGATTCCCACAGAGCATGAGGAAGCCTTGACACAGAATGCTGGGATTATATGCCTTCCTAAAGAACAATATCATTCCATTCGAGCACAGAGAAAAATATCCAGGACAGTATGTTCTAAACTGCACATACAGTACCTCTGTAATCATCCCTATCCTGACAACTTATATATGTAAGCAGAATATAAATTGCATTTCGTGGTCATTCTGGATTTTAACTTTATGCTAACTCAGGCGCATGTCTTGCAAACTTTCTGTGTTTTTTTTTTTTTCTTTTTAAATTTTTACGGCACTAGTGGCTCGTTTTTCTGACAGTAGGCGGACAGGAAAGGGGGTGTGAGAGAGAGGGCGAGAAATGCGGCAAAGGATATATATATATATATATATATATATATGCTACTCTGCATGGGCCTGAACCCCTTCAGCTAAAAAATCAACAAGACTGGCTGCGGTTACCAAATCAGGCACAAGGCCACCATCAGTCACCTCCTCTACATGGATGACATCAAGCTGTACGCTAAGAATGAGCAAGATATCGACTTACTGATCCATGCCACCCGGATCTACCGCACAGACATTGTGCGAGATTATACACACTTCCCTAATCATTCCAACTACAGCAGGGTGGTCAGATGGTGACTAAGAGAGGGAAGGCATCCTTCACTGAGGTGGTCTAACTCCCAGAAGGAACAATAGCAGACATTGAGGACATTTACAAGTACCTCAGAATCCCACAATCAGATGGCAACCTCAAAGAAGTGACAAGGAAAGCAGCTACAGCAAAATACCTCCAATGAGTGAGGCAGGTCCTAAGAAGCCAGCTCAATAGAAAGAATAAGTCTCGGTAAATAAATAGCTATGCTCTACCAGTAATCAGATACCCTGCAGGAATAATAAGCTGGCCAAACGATGAGATACAGGCCACAGATGTTAAGACAAGAAACTCCTAACCATGCACAGAGGGTACCACCCCAAATCCAGCAACCTGAGACTGTAGGCTAGCTGTAAGGAAGGAGCCCAAGGACTAATGAGCGTGAGAGCCATTATTCAGGATGAAACATTCAAGATCATAAGTATTTCAAGGAAAAGGCTCCAACAGATGACATGCTCAGTGAATGTCTAAGACAATGGGGAACAGAGGATGAGGTGTTAGAGGTTCCATCGTGGGAGGATAAATACTGATCATGGTTGCACAGGGGCAGGCCTTGAGTACTAGAGCAATAGAGGCCCAGATCTACCACACCAGACAAGACCCCAGCAGCAGACTGTGCAAAGAGGATCCTGAGACAATCCAGCACATAACTGCAGGGTGTAAGATGCTGGCAGGGAAAGCTTACATAGAGCGCCATAACCAAGTGGTGGCAATAGTGTACAGGAACACCTGTGCAGAGAATGGGCTGGAAACCCCAAGATTAAGGTGAGAAACACCTCCAAGGATGGAAGAAAATGAGTAAGCCAAGATCCTGTAGGACTTCCAGATACAGACGGACCGATTGGTAATGGCAAACAAACTGGACATTGTGGTGGTGGACAAAAAGCCTCGGCCATTGTAGTTGACATAGCAACACCAAGTGACTGCAACATCAGGAAAAAGGAACATGAGAAACTAGAGAAATACCAGGGGCTCAGAGAAGAGCTGGAGAAAACCTGGAAGGTCAAGGCATCAGTGGTGACCGTGGTCATTTGGGCACTTTGGGCAATCAGCTGACAAGAAAGCTGGAATCCCAGCAGAAAATACCCCTATGTCATTCAGGGTTTAAATCCAAGCACTGAAAGGAAATCGGCCTCTTTCCCGCGGTTTCATCGCCTGCGAGTAGAGGCCCATATTTCATGTGAAATGCTAAAGAAAGCGATCTGAAAGCAGCTTTCGTTTTCCTGCGTCAAAAGTCACGGATCGCAGTGTCCCATCGTGCATAGTGCCCGCTGAACTGGGTGAGACGGGATCTCCGAAGCTAAACGCTGTGTGGATTTTCCCTCTTTTGGGAGGACCTCGCTACTGAAATCACGGCCTGTAGGGGGACACCCTTGCTTTCGATAGCTGTAGGTAACCATCCTTGAATATTGAAAGCCTATCAAGTTCCTCTGCTGTAGCATCAGACTGATCTAAAATTCTTCACAGTGGTCTATCCTGATTTCTTTTGTTGTTGTTGTTTTTTTGTTTGTTTTTTAGCTGTTTTATTGCAGTATGTTGTACACATACTCCTCTTTTGAACCGGCAAAACTGTATGTTGAGGTGTTGAAGGAAAGTATTTGGTTTTATTTTAGGTTTCAGGCATGCTTCAAGTGATTTAAGTTCTGATAACATCAGTTTACTCTATTATAAACCTGTCATCTGCATGAGTATGTTTTAATTGTTGGAGAGAATGACATTTACTGACTGGGTTTAATGACAGTAACATGTAGGGAGAAAAAAGTAAATCAGAAACGTAATCTTTGCCATCAAACAGATTTTCAATCATCCTCTGAAAAAAAAAAAAAACGTTATTTTACCTTACTGAGGGTGTTACCATCATACAAACAAAGACAATGAGTTAAGGGAAATAGATTAAATGAAACTTTGGCAGAATCTGCTGCATAGAAGTTAAGCAGTGACCTTGTGTAAAACAAAGTCTATAGAAACAAAAAAATACATTATTTTATTATTTCATTACATGTACTGTGTGCAACACATGGAAATGTATTAATCTATATATGTTTTGCATTTTATGATGCAAAACATATATATGTGTAACTTTGGTTTTGTAGTTCTTTTCCGAAAGGCGCATGTCAATTTGACAAGTATCCTCCTTTTTTTAATAGGTTTTGTATTTTCAGGTTATCTTGGGGGGATTTTAGATTTAAATATTCTAAGAAAGAGATGAGTTTTGAAACATAGGGTATTAGCCTTGCAAAAACGAAATGGATCTATATTAATTAGCTTTTCTTTCAGTATTTTCCCAACCAAGTTACTATCATGTTTTTCTTTTCACAAATATTTGAATGATAACCATCCATCCATTCATTCATCATTTTCCGCTTATCCGGGGTCAGGTCGCGGGGGTAGCAGCTTCAGTAGGGAGGCCCAGATGTCCTTCTCCACAGCCACTTGGGCCAACTCCTCTGAGGGAATCCCCAGGTGCTCCCAAGTTAGCCGAGAAACATAGTACCTCCAGCATGTGCTGGGTCTCCCCCTGGGCCTCTCAATGGGACGTGCCTGAAACACTTAACCAGGGAGACGACCTGGAGGTAGAGCTGGGCGATATGGCGATATATATATCGTGAGGACGAGAGAAACATGTCTATCGTGACCTTTCTCCTCTATTTTTTCTATCGTGATAAACTTTTTTATTATTATTATTACTGCTAATATACATTTTAATATAATTTGTTAATATAACATTTTGCGTTTTTGCTATGCAAACTCTAAGTGTATATAACGAAAAAAAAAGAGAATAAAAAGATAATGTGTAGAGAACGTGGTTTTGCGACACTACACCGCTTTACGTCACACGGCTTCACACCATACGTTTGCGTCATTACTGACGGAGAGAGCCCGCGAAATTTCTTTCTGGCTTGAAAAAAAATGAATGATGGACACCCAAGAAGATGTTACCACAGCAGCGGTTACAGAGTCCGAAACGGTTGCCAGGTCACAGACACAACAAACACCACTTTTGCCCAAAAGGGGAGGCAGTTCGGTTGTTTGGTTATATTTCGGATTTCAGCCATCTGATAAAGAACAAACGCAGCCGATATGTAAACTGTGCAGCAAAGCCGTTCCAGCGGCTGATGCAAATACTTCCGGCCTCTTTTACCACCTGAAGAAAAATCATGAACAAGAACACGGGAAACTACAACCACTCCGATCAAAACAAACAAGGGATGAAAATACAGGAAGCACTGGAAAGAAATTCTCACAGCCGAAGCTTAAGGAAGCATTCGCCCAAGGATCACAATATGAGAAGACGTCTCAGCGACACAAGCAGATCACAGGTGCTATTTCACGCTATATCTGTAAAGGCATGGCCCCAGTTTACATAGTCGAGAAAGACAGCTTTCGGGACCTCGTCCGTACACTCGATCCCAGATATGTGATGCCTAGTCGAAAACATTTCAGTAAAGTGGAGCTGCCTGGCTTATATGCTAGTTGTCGGGCTGAAGTGGAGAGAGAGGTACGCAGTGGTGTGACGCATTATGCGTTGACTACGGACATGTGGATGAGTAGAGCAACACAGCCTTATATGAGTCTCACCATCCATTTCATCAAGGACTGGACCCTCCTAGTGGAAAACAAGGTAAGTGAAAGACAAGAGAAAAACCTGGCCTTGGAATTTTATAAAATGTCAATAACAAACAAATATTAAATGATTAATTACTGCAGCGCAATAGCCAAGATTCTATACTGTTCACTGTCATGGCCGCAAATTGCATAACTGGTGTTCTTGGTTTGGGGTTGGGATTCTCATATTAGGAAACAAGATGATGGGTAAAAAATAGGCGATGAAAGATTTTTTTCAACCCTGTCCATCTGACGGACTATGAAAACATAAAATGCAACATCAGTTGTGGTATATCGTGATATATATCGTTATCGTGATATAAAATAATCCATATCGTGATATAGTTTTTTTTCCATATCGCCCAGCCCTACCTGGAGGCATCCTAATCAGATGCCTGAGCCACCTTAACTGGCTCCTCTCGATGTGGAGGAGCAGCGGCTCTACTCTGAGTCCTCCCCGGATGACTGAGCTCCTCAACCTATCTGTGAGGGAGAGCCCAGACACACTACGGAGAAAACTAATTTCAGCCGCTTATATCCGGGATCTTGTTCTTTCGGTCATGACCCAAAGCTCATGACCATAGATGAGAGTAGGAACGTATATCGACCGGTAAATCCAGAGCTTTGCTTTTTGACTCAGCTCTCTCTTTACCACAACAGACCGGTGCATTGCACGCTTCACAGCAGAATCCGCACCAATCCGCCTATTGTTGTCCCGCTCCATCTTCCCCTCATTCGTGAACAAGACTCCAAGAAACTTAAACTCCTCCACTAGGGGCAGTACATCCTCCCCAACCTGGAGAAGGCACTCTACCCTTTTCCTGCTCAAGATCACCGGTCATACAGAGACTTGAGAACCCTTATCAAAGGGCTCAGTACCCCATTCTCCCAGAGTAACCCCACAGGACCCCCCAGAGGGACATGGTGGAATGCCTGCTCCAGATGTACAAAACACAAGAAGACTGGTTGAGCAAAATCCGACGCACCTCCATGATCCTCCTGAGGGTGTACAGCTGATTGAGCGTTCCATGGCCAGGACAAAAACCACACTGCTCCTCCTGATTTTAAGATTCGACTATCTGATGGACACTCCTTTCCAGAACCCTGGAATGGAATTTACCAGAGAGGCTTGTGAGTGTGATTCCTCTGTAGTTGGAAAACACCCCTTCGGTCCCCTTTTTTTAATAGAGGGACCACCACCCCAGTCTGCCAATCCAGGGGAACTGCCCTTGATGTCCACGCAATGTTGCAGAGTTAACCAACACATCCCCACAACATCCAGAGCCTTATGGTACTCAGGGCGAATCTCATCCACTCTGGGGCCTTGCCACCGATAAGCTTTTTAACGACCTCAGTGACCTTAGCACCAGAGATGGGAGAACCCGACCTGGAGCCCCAAGGCTCTGCTTCCTCAATGGAATATGTGTTGGTAGGATTAAGTAGGTCTTTGAAGTACTCCGCCCAGCGACATACGACATCCCGAGTGGAGGTCAGCAGCACACCACCCCACTATAAATAGTGTTGGTACTGCACTGCTTCCCCCTCCTGAGACGCTGGATTGTGGACCAGAATTGCTTCAAAGCCATACGGAAGTCTTTCTCCATGTCCTCTCCTAACTCTTCCCACACCCAGGTTTTTGCCTTAGCAACAACCCGAGCCACTTTGACTGCACTCATCTGCTGCTTCTGGAGTCCCACAGGTCAATAAAGCCCCATAGGACTCCTTCTTCAGCTTGACAGCTTCCCTCACCGCTGGCCTACCAGGTCTGACCGGTGACAGGTGCAGCCTTATTTTTGGAGATAACAGCATATTAGCAAAGGTGTCTCATGCCAACTATCAGTTATGATAAGGTAATTATTTTACCTGGTTTAGCAGTTATATAATTTGAATAACCTGCAGTCATGTAATTTACCATTAACCCCCAATTTAGATATATTCTAAAGTCAAGTCAGATGTTGCCTGACAGCTAAAGCTTGGATCAAACTAGATCATGAATTGGGGTTTTATCCCACAAAAAACAATACCCATTGACCAAAACCCAACATGCTTGCAGTGGTTCAGTCAAGGTCCAGAACCAGACCTGTTAAATGATGTAAAAAGGACAAAAAGGTTATTTTCTCCAGTTTGCAATTGAATTATCCAATAATGTAAAGAAAGTTGGCAAAAATACACCCGTAGTAATGTGAGATACCGATAAGAATTTTAATTATTGCTACAGTACCAGTGGCCAAAAAAAAAAAAATAAATTAGCTAACTAATCAAAACAACAACAAATACTGTTTTTCAAATTAATAATGATGATAATAATGATAATATATTTGAATGACCCGTGTGGAAAAGCTTGAGGTGTGTTTTTAGAACTGATTCAGGATACCTACTTTTTTTTACATTTGGATAATTACTCTTTAGCTTAGAAAAAGAGCAAAAATATAAAAATAACAATTTAAAAGTACTTATAGTCATTAAAAGTTATTTTACAATACAATCAAAGTATAAAAAGTTATTTATGAACAGCTCCAAAAAGCAATCTAAACAACATTTTACACAAGTTGATTTAGTTTGGATGAAGGGTAGAAGTACTGTAGGCATTTTAAAACAAGCGGTTTCTGGCTGTTCTCATCATTTTTTTTTATCAACTGAGGAACATGGTGTTTTAGCACAGTGTGTAAGAACAAAATGGACTGGGGTGAAAACAAATACAAAAGCAGGCAGCCCTGAGATCCATCTGACACAACGCAGGAGGATGTTTACAGACAGCACTCCTGGCATTGCAAATGTAAGCTGCAGCAGACAGAAACAGCTGATTGAAGCTGAATGTTCTGTTCCTCCTCTTTCAGTCATTACTGGTGCTTCAGAAGGTGTTGGGAGAGCTTATGCATTTGCAGTAAGTGAAATGATAAGTTGTATCTGAAATTCCAATTAAAAGATGTTTACCTTTGATTTTATGACCCTTCACAAATTTTTGAATGTGGACATTTTCTTACTGATTAACTGTCCCAAACTGTACTACCTCTCAGCTTGCCGAGAGAGGAATGAATGTTGTTATCATGAGTCGGACCAAAGCAACGCTGGACCAGGTGGCAAAGGAAATAGGTATGAAGTAAACGTGTTTTATGGCTGCAAAATATCAACTAATGTCTTATTAATCATGTGTAAAGGTTCCTATTTTCCAGAGTGATGTCAAAGTTTTAAATGTCACAGGTGAAAAAACAGGACGGACAGTGAAGGTGGTTGTGGCAGACTTCAGCAAGGAGAATACCTTTGCAACTATAGAGGAAGAGATAAAAGACCTTAATGTTGGGGTTTTAGGTTCGACCTTTATATTCCCTTTGTTTATATGTAAAGCACAAGTTGCTATATTACAAACAAAATATACATAAAGACATTTCTATTTTCTAAACATTAACTTTTTTTCTCCCCAAACCCAGTAAACAACATTGGGGTGCTCCCCAACATCATCCCCTCCAGGTTTCTGGAATCGGAGGAGCTGGACAAGGTCAGTGGAAGGCCACATGCTTCTGCATACTATACGTCCATGAGGATTTTTCTGAACTAACACTATACCCTCCTAACTTTAACATTCATGTACAGATTTAAAGGCATAGGCTTGGTTTTTGCACTAATCCAATTTACAACAACTAAAACTAAACCTAAACAGTTAATTTGTATCCAGGTGAATAATATGTCTCTTTTGATAATTCAATTAAAAAAGTGAAACAATGATTTATAATATTATTCAATTCAATTCAGCTCAGAGTATTTATACAGTGCCAATTCACAACACATATCATCTCAGGGCACTTAACGAGACAGATCAACAAGATCACACAGCCAGGTTGGCTCATAGTTTTCTTTCTAAGGAAAACCAGCTGATTGCATCGACTCATTGACTCGAAAGCAATTCCTCACACCAACATGCTTGTAGTGACAGTGGAGAGGAAAAAACCCTTAACAGGAAGAAACCTCCAGCAGAACAAGGCTCATTGGGAGCAGCTATCTGCCGAGGCCGACTGGGGTTCAAGGAGACAGAAGCAGACATACAGAAAGAAGGAGAGATACAAAAGGCAACTGTCAACCAGCTCCACAGGCAGCCCCTTCCAGGAAACACACAGCCAGGCAGACAAGCTCAGAGCCAGCTCCCAGAGGATGAAAGAGAGTGCATCAAGTTAGTCATAGTCAGAGAAACAGGACTACACTGAAAAACAGGCCAAGCTCCAACATCTATAACCAAAGGTGCTTATGGCTGCAGCACAGCTAATATTTCTCTCCAGGATGGTGCCACAGCCAAACAATAACAGACGAGGAAAAGCTACTATGAGAAAAAGCAGAGACAGCATAACATTAGAGATTGAACTAACAAATACTGCAGAATGGGAGAATAGAGATAGAATGTAACAGAATGATGAAATGGGGGTCCCTATGTCCTCCAGAAGTCTAAGCCTATAGCAGCATAACTATAGAGATAGCTCAGGATAACCTGAGCCACTCTAACTATAAGCTTTGTCAAAAAGGAAAGTTTTAAGCCTTCCCTTAAAAGTAGACAGGGTGTCTGCCTCATGGACTAAAACTGGATGTTGGTTCCACAGGAGAGGAGCCTGATAACTAAAAGATCTGCCTCCTGTTCTACTTTTAGAAAATCTAGGCCCCAATATTAGAATATGAAATTATGGTAAATACAAAAAAAAAATATGCAGAAATGTCAATATAAGAACAGATCTCAAGAACAGTTTCTTCCCCCAAGCCATTGCCCCCCCTCAACTCCGACCTGCACTGTCGGTCACTTTACACCTGTTTTGCACTATACCCCCCCCCCCCCCCCACAATCTGTGCCAGTACTGTTTACATTTCCTTTTCACTGTTTACATTTCCTTTTTATATATTTATATATATTTTTTTTAACTGTGTACATTTCCTTTTCCTTTTAATATATTAATATATTTTTAATTGTATTTTTTTATTTCACCGTAGCTGATATGGAAGTCCCAAATCTCATTGTATCCGTTGCAGAATATAATGACAATAAAGGCTTTTTGACTTTTGACTATACTCTAATGCATGACCAGTGCATCAGCTTGTGTTTCAAGTTGGGATTCAAGTTGCTTCTAATAAAAGCCTTCAGCTCCTCTGCATTGTTGTGTCTCTCATGAGTCTCATGGTGATGCCCTATAACTTATCGGTAAGGAGAATTCTGTGCAAATCCAACGCAATGATACTGCTCTCAGTAAAGAATAGGCTGGTTATTTTATCACAGGAAGCAGCTCTGCCTTGGTTCATTTAGCACAGCTGCTGATTGTGCTAAGCTCCTCATACTAATTGTTCACCCATCTGAGCAAGAAAAACTGCTTTTTGGAAACATAACTTCCAACAAACATTATGAAAATTGTTTATGACCTAAAAATTATATTTTTAAAAACTGTTGAAGGATGTATAGAAATAATGCATTATTCCCCCCCCCACCCCCCATGTGATATACAACCCTAGCAATATGGCTATTTATTATTGATACCACTGTTTTAAAGCTGCACCTCAGGTTGGAAGCTATGACACACTCCGTTTCAAAATACAATCTAAAACTGTTGATTTCAGAATTAATTGTTCTAAAAGTGAAGTTTCAACTCATTTAATGCAAATTGAGTGTTTTTGTGTGTTTTCAGGCGATAACTAACGTGATAAACTGCAATGTGAAAACTTTGTGCAAGGTAAGAATGCTTTGGACACAAAAGCCTGTGACTTTTACCTTATTGCAATAATCCTCAGAGCCTAATCATACACTCTCATTTCCTGTCTTTAGATGTGCAAAATAATCCTCCCAGGCATGGAGAACAGGTCTCCTATCCATGTTTTCTTCATTAGATGTAATGTTTAACAGAGTTATGATATAAAATGCTGTTCAGAGTTATCCAGTTTCCCGCTAATCTGTATGCAGTTGTTTATTTTATCCATTCATTTGGGCTCTGCAGGAGAAAAGGGGTGATTATCAACATTGCTTCAGGAATTGCTTCTTTCCCCTGCCCGCTGTATACCCTCTATGCTGCATCAAAGGTAAAATTGTTCATCAAAATAACATGTCTTCTAATTGGATCATTCACAATACTTGCAATTGATTTGGGGTTATGCAGATCTTTGTGGAAAGATTTTCTCAAGGTCTTCAAGCAGAGTACAAGGACAGAGGGATCCTCATACAGGTACTCTCTTTCTCCAAGACTTAGAATAACAATTAATCAGAAAGTATTTGCTCTGATTCCCAAAAACCCTTTTTTTAGGCAGTTGCTCCATTTGGGATCTCTACTCGGATGGCACATTTCCAGAAAGCCAACATTGTTACTCTGCTGCCAGAAGACTTTGTACAAAAATCCCTGCAGTACCTCACAGCCGGAGAAAAAACCCATGGCAGCCTCTGTCACACAATCCTGGTAAAACCACAAATTACTCATGATACCAAATTAAAATTCTCTGTAAAAGCCGCTTGAACTTTTCCCATTTTGCCACATGCAACCAGAGTCTTCTGGTTGCATGTGGCAAAGTCTATGTATGCCAGATGCCAGAGTCTATGTATTTTATATGGATTTTTTTGTGTTAGGTAAAAGTAAGAAGTCTGTATTTGCAAAATTAGAATAATTGTTTATATTTGTATACACTCTTCCATGTATAAAAAGAATCTGAAAATCTCACAAAGTTGTTTAGAACATTTTTACATGGAAACTTCTAAATAATTTGTCTCCAAAAAGCCACTTTGTAAGTAAACATTTATCCAATGCATTTCTGAGCATAAATCCGGCTGATCTCTGTTGGCCTCAAATGTTTATTGGAGAACATTAGAGAACAAACAGGATCAAGAGCCAAACATAACACAGCAGAACGGTCAGACAAAATGTTGGTCAGATGATACAACTATCAGCCACATAGAATTAAAAAGAGAAATGTGAAAACATTATAAAGGAGGTGGATAAGAAAAATGCTATGGTTACACAGGAAGAGCTATAGAAATCCCTGAACCAGGTTGGAAAATCTGGTGATAATGTTTCCTTTCCCCGAATTCCACAAGTCCTCCAGTTATGGAACAGAGGCACAATGAAAGCCATTGTACATAACAGAAAACCTTTTTTACAAAGCTTGTTAGACATCTTGTAGGTGATGCACACGACAAACATTTGGAAAATGCTGTTCAGATATGACCAGAAATAAACATTTTGGCCATCATGTGAAATTTAATATGTGTGCAACTCCAAATAAAATAAGAATGTGCTGAAATCTTTAAGCTAGGTGGAACAAGCCCATAAAGACTTTAATTTGCAGGCAGATACTCAAAAATTATACCCAAGTAAGACTAATACTATGTGAAAATGTTTTTTTACTCAAGTAAGAGTAAAATGTAACAATCCAAGAAATTGTTCAAGACAAAAAAAATATTTTGTTAAACAGCTACTCAATTACTCAGTATCTAATCATAACATCCAATGTTTGAAAATATTTAATAAAAAAAATCAACATATATCTAGTTTATGTCATGGTCTTGGTTCTGCTATTCTTTTCTTTGCTCCTTGTTTTCTAGATTTATTGGCCTAATTCCAGTTTTGTTGTATTTCTAGATTTATATTAGTTCTCATGTTTTTCTGTTGTCCTCTTTTGCACTCTTGTGTGTGTGTTCCTTTCCCCTTGGCTCCCTCGTTGTCTCCTCTCACACCTGTTCCTTGTCTGCTCGTTAGCCCTCCCTTTGTCTCTCTCTCCTATATATGCTCCCTCTGCTCTCACTCTTTGTTGGTTCCTTGTCTTTGCTGTCCTCCCATGCTGTTGTCCACGTTCCTCGTCTCTCCCTGGCTCCTCGTGTTTGGTTTCCCCCAGATGTCTCCATAGTTCTGGTTTGCTTTGATTATTAGTTGGATTTTTTGCATTCCTGCCTTTGTTGCTGTTTTTGCCCCATTAAACTCCCAAGAAATCTCCTCAGCCTCTCTGCCTCTGCATTTGGGTCCTCTACCACAACCAAACCCTAACAGTTTATGTGCAAATTCGGATGTTTTAAAGACTATAATGACAATTATATAACAATTAAAACAGGTGATTGTCAGCAAAAAAAAACATTCTAATTTAGAAAAAACACTTCTAACCATTTTTACTAGTGCTGTCAATCGATTAAATTTTTTAATCGCGATTAATCGCATCAATGCCTGAGTTAACTCGCGATTAATCGCATTTTAATCGCACATTTTTTTTCCTGATTGAAAATCATTTAAATACTCTGGATGACATACAAAAAAATACATACAGGCTAGGTTTGTGCCAATGTTCTTTTTTTAAAATGAAAACAGGTCACAGATACTGATTTATGCCATAGAAACATATGGCAAGAAGATGGGGAGGCATGTAGCAAAAAATAACAAATATGTAGCCAAAAAAAAGGCCCTGAAAACAGGCTGATGTAAAAGACAGTCTTTACAGTTAATACAGTCTTTTGAACAAAGACAAGCATTTTACCCTACTGCTATAAAATTTAGTAGAATTAACATTAGATGTTAATTAACCAAGGTAATAATGAACAATTTTCAATCAATACATCAAAATCAATAGACCAACATCACTAGATGAAGGTAGTCTATGCTCTCTAGAAAGTTACTTTTCAGCCTCTTAACAAAAATGAGAACACACACACACCCACTCACCCACTCACCCACACACAGACACACCCACACACACACACACACACACACACACACACACACACACACACACACACACACACGATACCGACAAGAGTGCCGTAGCAGATTCCATTTCACCTCAGTAATCTGTTTTCTCAGCGTATTTCAGGTTGCTACTAGTTACCAGACACTCAACTTGTTTGTTGGTGGTGGGGCTTAAAGAAAAGGCACTAGCGCCACCCAGTGTATGAGCGTCTTTTTTCCTTGAGGAGCTCCGCTCTGGAAGCCTATGAGAAATGCATAGACTGGGGGAAAATAGCCCCGCCTTCCCGCAGGCTGCAGCGGGATGCACTTGGAAAATTGTACCATAAAACCACATAGCGTTAATCTCGCGTTAAAAAAATTATCGCCGTTAAAATGGCCTCGCGTTAACGCGTTAATAACGCGATAATTTTGACAGCACTAATTTTTACATATTTAAAATGTTTGAAACCAGAGACTTCAGTGACAATATTTACTCCTTACGGTATATTAACATGAGCTCCTAATGTCATGGTGGGTTCAAGTAAGCCCATTTCACATAAACATTAAATATTTGTCTTTTTCACACTGGAGGGAGTAGGCAAAGATTGTACATTAAATATCACAATTCAGGTAAGAGTATATGATATGTTATAAAGATATTATTCAAGTAAAAGTAACAAGTATGGAGCAGGTAAACTACTCCTAAAATAATATATTTTTTTTGTCAAAAAGTTACTCTGTTTCTTTTTTTTTTTTTTTTTTTTTTTTTTTTTTTTTTTACAAATAATTAGAGAAACACATGAATCATTTTCATTCCTCTTCACAGTTATGCGTTACCTATTAAAATCCCAGGGGTTTTGTGATAGAAATGTCCTGAAAAAGTGTTTGTACAAGGTGCTGGCAGACTAAGTGGTCCTAACAGATTTGTTTGTGTTGTTCATTTAGGGTTGGCTGCTGCACTCTATTCCATTTAAGGTTCTCCATTCCGAGTATGTGCTGCAAAAGTTACAGAACTACATCGAAAAGAAAATAGAACAGGAAGAAAATGGTTCTACATGAAAATAGACACATGGAAGTGGTAGGTAGAAATAGGAAACCATGAAGATTGTAAATCCATCTTTTTTTTTATTTTGGCTTTCTAGTGGCTTTTATTCATCAGTAGAGGAAGAGAAAGGAGGTTGGATAGAGATGGGGGCGGGGGGTGGGTGGGGGCGGGGGGGTGGGTGGGTGGGGGGGTGTTTAGCAAAGGTCTCTTGGTCTGGATTTGAAACGATGGTGGCTGCATTGAGGACTGAGACCTTTGAGCGTGGCACCACGTTCTCTACTTTACTCCCATGCTGTTTTAGTTATGGAACAGGTGGATGTTGTGAACATGAAATAAGTGAATATAATGATCTCTGTTAGTTTTATTTTGAAATAACTCAAATGTGCCATACTTATGTGCAGCTATACTGTTTCATAGAACAAATGTTTTGGAATTTCTGTTTTGAATCCTGTTTTTTATCATTCTTCTACTATGTAGCATTTTAAGCACACATATGCCAGTTTAATGTATGACGCACAAGCTGTAGGATATGACATAGTATATAACCCATCACCCACTGGCTCATTTTGAGTGTTTAGAGTAACAATGCATGAAATATGCAAATATTGATATTAGTACATGATACTTATGCCATACCATTTTTTAACCTTGTTGAATAAAGTTCTTTAAAATAAAATGACAACATATTTATCTCTTATTCACTTTTTCTTTATATGTGGATATAAAGTGATTCAAATCTGCTTAAAGAATAATGTTTCATTCGGTTGGTGCTGTCTTATTAATGAAAAAAAAAGTTAAAAAAAATTCATTTTCTAGCAGAGAAAAAAAAATCATAACACCGACAAATAAGAGAGCAAGGTGTTTTCTCTAAGATCTTTAAACCCACAATATTTGATAAACTTTTCAATGAGAGAAAAAAGAAGCTGAAGATAAACATAATATAATTAATGAATGTCAGCAGGGCTGGACTAGGTCTAAGTATAATCCAGGCTTTTTTGGTAGCCCACCATGATTTGTTATATGTTATGGGAAGATACTCAGCATATCAGAGGAATAATGAATAAGAAGTGCACATGAGATGGTTACAGAAATGAATGTATAGAGGAAGAAATTATTCAAGCCTAAAGGCTAAATATTGAGTAACTGATCATCTCACTTGATTTGCTGTTTAGACAAATATTGAATCAACAAACAAGAAATTGTGGACTAATCCTGGTATTGTAAAAACTAAAATAGAACATGTACAAAACTAACTGTCTAAAGCAGCAACATGGAACTGGTATTTATAGGAGTTAATACATATTTGCTACTGCATATGTACTTGATCTCCAAATGGCTTAGCAGAAAATTATATTTAAACAATCTTTTGTTCAGTAAAAATGTATAATTTCAACATATATGTAGGCCTGTGTATCAGGTGCATTTAATTCAACTAAGGGTAGCACAATAAATGAAAAACTATTACTCAGGTGAATTTTATCAAGTGTATTTTTGTTCATATAAACCTATATGCCAAGTTAACATTATGTTGTGAGTTACAAATTTGACTAAATTATATATATATATTTCTGCTTCAGCTTTTAAGCACAGCATCCCTATCTAGTAAGCAGTATGTTTATAACAGGAAAATATCTTCTTCAGAGACAAATAACTTTTGTCAAGACTCAGAACAGAAGGACCCAGTATTCAGGCAAGATAGACTGCAAGATAGCTGCAGTAGCAGCGTCTGAGGCAGGAAACTCTGGAGAGAGGACACACAGGTTAGTCACCACGAAACCTGGCGCAGGATGCTATGAACACGTGATTCACTAACCTGGTTTCTACTTCAGTCCGTGCCCAGAGAAAAAGGTAGGAACTGGTTAGGTTCAGGAAATCAGAAACACCAAGGTATTAAAAAAAACACTCTCACCACAGGCTGGAGAGAATAATCTGTCCTGATGACTGGATGCAAGCAAATTTAATAGAGGCAGGAGCAGTTGGATCAGGTGAGCAGTGATGAGAAAGAGTTAGACAGGTGAATGGAATGAGTAATTAAGCCAGTCATCAGTGCCAAGATCATGAAAATCGTCTAATTTCTTCTGTTAGTTCTGCCAGTGCAAACATTTTCTGTTTCTTCTTACCAGGCTGGTTAGTAGCTGTTCTGTTCTTCCTAGGTTGTCCCTGCTGGATCCCGTCTTTTTCTTCCTGCATTAGCCTACCTCTCCTTCCTGCTACTCCATTCCCACATGTGGGGCTGCTCTTGTGTTTTTGCAATTTGTTAGGAAATATCAAGGGGCAGTATAAGGTGATCTCTCTAAATCTGGTCACCTCAAGTTTGATCAATCAGCAGTGAGGGGAAGGGTGTACCAAGTAGGTTTAGGCTTTTAAAATAATAAATGGGGCATGTTTCATTTATCACCATAAGCCCACCAGGCATATGCCGTTTGCCCAATGGCCAGTCCCGGCCTGAAAATCAGTATGGCTCAATAATGATAATTAATGCTGCAGCTAGTGTCACATCGAAACCAGAATTTGAACCTTTACAGTAGCAGCAAATTTGAAACACTTGGAAAAAAACTGATAAAAAGGGGAATATAAACCAGGAAGAGGTTTAACTAGGAGGGGTCTGTTGGTGGGATCTCTGAGATTCTCTAGGAGGAGCGCTGTGCTGGATTTTAAATTATCTGCAGTGAAGTTTGAGCTAATTCCTATGATTCAGGTGGAAGGAGATGGAGGACCTGAGAGCTGAAGTGTTTGCAAATCCTGGTGGGGGGTGAACAGGTGGGTTTAGGGATCCAAAGTTATTGAACAATGGAGAGGAGCAGGTGAGGTTCTTTGTTTTCCAAGGAAAGGAAGACGCCAAGCAAACACAGACCTGGATCTCCAGGAGATGTTCCTCCTGGGAGGAGTCAAAGCAGGTAAGCATGCATCTGTCGAGTAACAGTTTGGAACAAGAGAGGAGGCCTAGTAACCAATGAAAATATGATCTGTCTTTTTGGGGAAATTATCTCTTAAATGTTCCTCCTTGGTGAACTCTTTAGGTGCACCTGAACTTCTCAACATGTCTGGATCCACTCTGAGGAGAACAGGTGAGAGGCAACACTGATAAGCATCTGAATTCAACCTCAGAGATACAACAGCTGGAATAATCACTGACTTAAAAAACCCTTTGATTCTCTTTATCATAAATTTAAGAGTAGCTTTGAAATGATTTAATGCTATTTGAAGAATTTTAATAGAGTGTTTTTAGGGGAGAGTGTAATTTTACTGTATGAGTTTGAATTTTACTTATTTTATTCTGTCTTATTACATATTTTATTTTGCCCTATTGTACTATTGTATTTTATTTTTCTCTCTTCTGTAAATAAGGTGCACGGCAAGAAAAGGATTTCCTGCAAGTAACTCTGATTCTGATTAAGAGGGGCTCTGTGCAATTGGAGGAAGACATGGTAGAAGAAAGCTTAAAAAAACTGTGAGAATAAATTGTACAAAAAAATATTGAAAAGTTTAATTCAGTTACACATTTAAAAGTTAAGCTTAAAATAAAGAGGTACTTTTTGAAATTAAGGAGACTTTAGTTGTTTTTTTTTTTTATTTCAGTTGACTTTTCTTTGTTCTGAAAAGATTGGTCAGATGTAGGCGTGAAAAGTTTGTTTTAAATCAAAGAGGGGCCCACCAAGACATTTACAGAACCACTGCCAATAAGAATATGATGTGGTCAGTGGAGTGGAAATGAACCAGAGTCTGGCAATAATAAGACAACAAACATTTCTCAAAGTCATGGTTTTTCTCGTATCATCCATTAATTTTTAGGAAAACACTATGATGATAATTAATATCTTCATATTGTTACATCAATCAGTAATAATGAAGATGCAATGCAGGCTCCTGGCCCTACTGACTTGAACATAGGTCTTCTGCTGGAGGTGCTCCCTCTGGTGCATCTGATGTCAGGAATGGCCTGAAGAAGAGCTGGCAGACGAATCACTTTCAAATGAGCTGCAAGAAATGAAAAGGGGAGAAGTTACATCTTCATATTACAGTATTGTAACGGCCAATTAATAACACAAGTTGCACCAAAATACAAAATAATAAAAAAAAATCTCTTGAACCTGTGCCCGGTGTGTATTTATACACAAAGTTTAAATAAATACCTAAATTGGAGGGTTAAGCCTTCTCAGTACATGGCTAACTTATAACCATTGAGAGACTTCTGGAGCTGTCTTATTAAACCTGAACTGTTCATAGAAGTTTAAAATCTTGCACTTACACTTTAGATCTACACACTTAAGACTAAAATTCTACCCTTGAAATCCATAGTGAATATGCTCCTGTTTGATTTTCATATTCTCTCCTTTAGCCTGGCCCTCCTGTTTTTCTCAGAGGGTGAAATGTTCCTGTACAGACATGCCCTATAACAAACTGCAGTAGTTCCTGCGAAGACTTTTAAATGTTTTGTTATTTTTATGACATGTCTTTGGGCACATTGATGTCTGGTTTTAGGTTGTACTTTCTTGTGCACAGACCTGGGCATGGTGGCAGTTATTCTGAATGTCTCCTCCTGTAGCCTATTGTATTCATGGTGGAAATTAAAAATTATTCTCAGACCTTTTAAGTGCCTCTACCAGGCTAAGAAGCAGCTACAATAATCTCTCTTAAGATCTCAGGCAGGTCTTTGCTTTAACCAAAGTGTTCCCTATGGAGGCAAGTTTCAACAAACCCACTTAACCTAATGTCTGACATATAGGCAGGAAAAAACTTCTTCACAATGGTGAGTAAGAACGCTCTAATGACGTGCACTTATATAAATTCCATAGGTGTAATCTCAGCCACTGGGACTAAATTTTAGACTCTCCGACATATACCTAGTGAGAGCATATATAATGTATTAGTTGTTTGTGTGTTTTACAGAAAATAGTAAAAGTATTTCCTTTTGATCTTATTTATCTTGTTTTTATTTATTTCCTTTGCATTGTTAGAATTTACAATAAATATTTATATATTTAAATGTGTTGAAAAGCACAAAGACTCTGAGTGTGTGTTTTAAGTTTAATTATATAAAAGACATCCTATTATCAGAAAGAACATGAATGATTTATGAATAAGGTGTTGCAGCTGACCTTAACATATTCACCTTGCAAATAACCATGGGACCCATCGTCAAAGACAGCATACCTCATTTCCAGCTGGACCAGAATGGTAACAAAACAGGAAGACACTGCTTGGACAGGTTCTTCATGCTGCTGCAAATGATGCAATAAAACTATAGAGACGTCCTTCGTTAGCTGGTAGGAGAGGTTGACAAGCCTGTTTGTGCTGCTGGGGTGTCTGAACAAAAAAAAAAGCCAAAAATCATATGAGAGCAGCATGTTTAGACAGCCGTGATGTGCGATCCTCCCCCATTAGAGATAGAGCAGGGAAGGGGAGAAGAAAGGGAGATGGTCAGAGTGACCCCAAGCTTAGATCATCCACGCCTGAACTGACCGTTTCAGGCTAAAACTAAATGTCAGCCACTGAAAGGTGGATAGTCGTTATTTGTTCTTCATGACCTTTAATCAGATGGTATTAAACTGTAACAATCGATCACTCAGACAGAGAAATCAAACCAACGAATGGGCAGATGAGGCTTCAAATTATGAATACAACATTCTCTAATATAACATGTCAGCTTTGAAAATTTTATTTTTTAGAAATTCCTAAAATGTTAACTTTAAGTTGATGATATGTAGAGGGAATTTAATCTTTATATATTTTGTGTTCTGTTTTTACATTATAACACAAATAAATGTGTTATATACAACAAATGTTTACATGCTGTTGACCACTGGTCTGTTGTAAAGCAGCTTAAAATGTATTTATGCTTCTTAAAATGCTAAATGACTAATGTATTTTAACTGAACTTTATTTGTTTCAGTTGCATTTACTTTATAAAAAATAAAATCCTTAGTTTACAATACGGCATCATGAGAATAACTCCATCTTCTACTGCTTGTCAATCAGAGTCCTGGGGGATTGGGGCCCATTTCCAGCACAGAACTAAAGTGTTTTGGTCCTTTTGGCTTTTTTTAACCACACAGACATTGACTAGACACAAAAAGCCTAAAATATCAGAGGGGAGTATACCTCTCTGATCTATGCCTATTTAATCCTAAAAACCATGCAAGTTTATCATCTTCAGATTTGGTTAACAATCTTAGGAGATGGTGACTTAGTGTTTGTCTAACACAATGGATTTCTTTTAATGTTTTTTTTTTTTTTTTTTTTTTTTTTTACAGCATTTTAGTCAGTAGAGTAGGCATCCCCAAAGTCGGAAATCGATGGCCGCCTGATTAGCGCTTTCTATGCGCTAATGGAACGGAGGTCTTCAACAGGGGGTCCGCGACCCCTAGTGGGTCCATGGAGGTACTGCATGGGGGTCGCGAAAGTTTTGGTTGATTAGAACTTTCATTTTTTTATATTCCCCCTGCAATTTTTTCCACTAATTTAAATGACTTGAAATCCACATTAACATGAATTCAACAAACTGTAGTAAACAGATAAATGGAGGCAGAAGATGTCTTTCAGTCATCAATGCACACATTCAGTGACACACAGAGTACTTTCAAGCTGGACACCGTTTCATTCACAACACCTGTCCCATCAACCAGGAATCAAACTCAGAAATACTTAAATAATCAAATTTACTTTTGTTACACTACTCCATATGTAATAAAGTGACTATAGGACCTGCTGGATATAACACAATTTCATACAATATATATAATTAGGGGGTCCCCGCTCCATCTTGCCTGGAAAACGTTGAAGACCCCTGCTTTAGCACATCTGATTCTGATGATTGCAGTTCAGCAAAAGCCTATTAATCAACTATCAATGTAAATCAGCTGTGCAGGACCAGGGAAACCTTTAAAACCTGCAGAACAGTGACCCTTGAGGACCGACTTTGGGGGTGCCTGGTATAATGCAACAAAATGAACTCTGTGCATTTAACCCATCCCCTTGGGGAGTAGTGGGCTGCCATCTTGCAGCGCCCGGGGAGCAGTGAGGGGGGTTAAGGGCACTTAACCACTAGGTGGTTATGGGATTGCGGGGGTTAAGGGTCTTGCTCAGGGACCCATAGTGGTAGTCCATGGGGTTGGGGCTTTAACTCAGAACCTCAGGATTCCTGGGTGACATGCCCTAACCACTAGGCCCAAAGCAGGCATTAGCACAAAGGGTCTTGCCTAAGGAGCCACACAGGCAGCTCATTCCCCCAGCTGGGATACGTTTGCAGGACGGGTGACTTACCACTTGAACGAGCTGGTCAGCTTTTAGATGCTCAGTTATAGCCTGACAAAATACTTCTCAAAACAAGAGTCTGTATTTATTCCTTTTGCACTGTTGAGCTAAAAAAAAACAAACAAACAAACAAACAAAACAAAAACACTTGCATCTAGAGCTAATTCTGGATTTTGAAATTCAAATATGAACATCTAAGTGATTGAGCTACAATTAGCCAGACTGGCTCACAGCTTCAGCTGAATTTGATTTATTTCAATACAGCGTTGGAGCTCAGAAATGAAAGCCACACATTAAAGATATTGGTTGTTCTTTGCAATTATTATAGTCGGTTGATATCTGTAAAACTTGCATCTTTCAAAAGTTTCATCTCAGGCTTAACCAAGTATGTCAAAAAGGTCAAATTTAGTCATTTTATTATAAAATGTCCTCTAGTATTTTCCGAGACCTAATTTAAAAGAGGAGCTCACCAGAGGTTTTTATTCTATTTAAATTTATGGAAAATTTCACATTTTTAAATTGACCCGAAACCTTTCCCATCTTCTTATCAAGAAAATGCTAATTCTGACATTTTTATTCTGCAGTTATCACTACTGGCCAATTTATTTCATTTTTTTCCCCCCTCAGGGTGAAACTGACCTCTATAAATGTCTTTACTGTGACGGTCCATTTGCTTTGCATTCTGGTATCTAGTTTACTATTTGGTCTCCAATGTCATTATGTAGATTCTAGTATCACTAGTGTCTTTGTTGTATTGTACACCTTGATTTCCAGGTATTGATCTAGTTAAATTCACATTTCATCATTAAAGGCATTTTATAATCATATTACATTTTATTTAGAAGCAATTTTTAAAAGTGCCCAAGGTAACTTTGCATATAAAGAAGTTAAGATTAAGTTAAGTTAAGACACGCCATCTATAAAAGAGAAAATCACGGAGAATAAACAATCTTGAGAGGGGTTTTTTTGATTCTGGATTTAAAGAGGTGAAGAGCGTGAATATGACTGATATCTGATGGGAGAGAATTTCAGAGTTCTGGAACAGAGCAAGAGAAAGGTTTGCTCAAAATTCAGACACATCTGATAAAAAAAAAACTGTCTAATTAAAAAATATATACAAAAAATTTTAATATACAACGTAGATCACAAAAGAATTACATAATGCCTGTAAAAAATAAAAACCTTATATAAAGAATTTTAGAAGTATAGAATGGTAGAGATAGAAAATAGATATAAAAGATTTAAGCACAAATTCACCACATAAACTGCTGCAAAAAAAATAGCTTTTTTGCTGCCCAAAGCGTGCGTGGCGTGAACGTAGCATTAGGTTTCCTAGATATATATAAACCAGTTTGTTGGAGTGTGAGTGATGCCAATATTTGTTCACTTATTTTGACTTAAATGAGAGGGGGATTAAGTAGCAGCTGTTTTTTTAAACTGCGAAAAATTATCACATTCATTGATCCAATATGTATTTTTTCTTTTCCATATATGATTAATACCATTTATAATATCTAATCAAATAAGAAAATAAGTCATTACTTGTTTGGAATATCTATGTATTTACCTTTGAAATCCGTTAATTATTTCCTCTCTATTTTTGCAAGGATATCATAATCATTTTTTCATAATATTTCTAAATTCCTTATCTAACAACATAGTTTCAGCAAGTTATGGCCTTTGGTGGTCTACGCTACCCTTCCTCTAGTTTACCTGTAATATTACAAATCTCCACCAGAGGGCAGAAAAAGCAAAGACTTTAAAACAAGAGTTGCATTTACTTTGAAACTGAGCTGATGGAGGTTCCAGTATATTTATTGCTATATATATATATATATATATATATATATATATATATATATATATATATATATATATATATATATATATATATATATATATATATATATATATATATATATATATATATATATATATATATATGCAAGCAAGTGTAACAGTAGTTGATCTAATGTTACATTTAATCTGTTACTTTAATTTAATAATTATATATTTTTTAGGACTTTTCTGGGTGTGTTTTATCTGTAACCTAGGTCTATAAGTGCTGCTGCTGAGGCATGCCTTTTTTACCCATTGCTGAAATTAAAAGTTGTTTATCCTGGTTGCTCAAGATCAGGGAGTTTCCACATCTTAGGTGGTCTCCACTCACCAGGTGCCAACAAAATTATGGCAGCACTTTGATGTCTTATTTCAAAGAATCAAAGAGTCAAATTAATTAAAAAATATTACTGTACTCTGTGAGAACAGGTTACAGTTAATTAATGGAATTTCCTTGTGTTTTACCATCAGTATGATACAGTTTGAGGACAAACCTGTGGTGAGAGCAGCTTCAACATGCCTGAAATATGTATCTATCTGGGTAGATGTAATCAATTGCTTCCATTCGAGAGTATTAGAATAGCTTATGGGTTCAGTAGTGTCTCCAAAACACTTTTAAATAGTTTTTTGCGTATGTAATCTTGTTTCTGTTTAAAAAGAAGAGTAATGAACTGCTTACGCCATGCTCTGTTTGCAACCCCCATCTCTGTTGACATCGCCTGCATGTGGTTTTAGCAAACAAGTAAAATCTAATGGTCCAAGGCCAACACATGGCCTATGAGACCCAACCAGGAGTCAGTCAGGACCACTAACCCTCTGGAAAACACACACACACACACACACACGCATATATATATATATATATATATATACAGTTTGCATGAACAGCATTTTTAAACACAATGTTCAAGTCTTACTGCATAATAAATAGACTTATGTCTGGAATTTAACATATGGATTTCCTTAAAAACAAAACATTTCATTGTATTTTTGGCTACATGTTAAAAATCCCCATCCTGCTGGAAGGTGATCTTTCACTAATGTCTTTACTTTCAGGACCAATTGTTGTGTATGAAGTTCTTTTATTCTCTCTTTGACTCACACCAGTTTCCACATCCTGCTGCAGAAAGGCCAAAACCATTTGATTTGTGCAGCTCCTCCTCTGTTATCATGGGCACCTCTCATAAATACTTGATTTATTCGATGTTAATGTCTTGATATGTTTACAGATGTCTGATATTTTAACATTTTTCATAACAGATAGATAACAGAAAACAAAGGTTGGGGTTTCATATGAAAAATGTGAAAAATTCACAAGACATATTCAAAAGAAATCTCTTTCCATTGTGATGTTCACCCTCACTTTTGGTGCAAATTATCTCACTCAGAACTGCAATGATATTATATTATACATTGCTTTCCCATCCAGCACCAAGGTTTTTATTTAACCTCAGAATTATTCTGACCTCTGAACTTAACCCAACAGAGAAAGGTGGCAAAGATCATCCGCAAGGTAAAACAAGCTAAACCAGAGATAAAAAGGGACAAACACAAATAAAGGTGAGAAAAAGCAAAAGTTAAATGGAAAAAGAAGATCAGTGATTCCTTTTTTCTTTTTTCCAGTGGCCAAGTTCTCCCATATGACTGGGCTTTATTGCATAGCCTCACGTCAAGGCGCAGGTCCTTGCAAACGTAAACAGTAGAGCGGCCGCAGCTGGAGCAGAGAGGCAGCCGCCTGCTTGCAGAGACATTTACACTAAACAATGGATCAAGTGACGCAGAGGCCTTTGGCAGGGCAACAGAGACCGGAGCAGTTCTTTACTTCGTTTATATCTCTTCTCTCAATATTTACCCCATGGTAAAACACAGTTTTCCATTCCTTTTGTCTGAAAGAAGAAGGGGAGCAGACCTCCCTCTATTCCTTACCAGGACAAGTCTTTTTAACCCCTTGTAATACCCCATAACCATTTTAAACATCTGTACAGCTGTGATGTTAATGGCTTAAGCTCCATTCAGATGTTACTCAAACTTTCCAGTGCAATTAATTAGTAATTTCACAGCGTAGGGTTTAGCCTCAACGACTGTGTGAGTCCATGAGGTAGAAAGTTGGTTTGTGAGAGAGCAAAGGCATCAATGTTATCTTTTATGACTGGGCTTAACGGCGAACAGAAGGACCTAGAAAATTAACCCAAATTACAGCCAACTTTTGCCCGGGTAATTGATTAGGAATGAGGGCCACATTGCGTGAAATTTCCGAATTAAGGGGGAGAAGTGCTTTTTTTCTTGAACTTTTAGAGACTTACTGTGACTATAGCCATGAGGGGTGGAGAACGTTACACTCCACAACAGTCAACTTCTATCCATATATTTTATCTTTTCCCCCCAGATGCATCATTTTAATGAACTCTACAATTTGCAGGTAACTTATTTGGTTCCTGTCTTGAATTTACATGCTTGTAACTGACTATCTAGTTATTTCTTTATACAATACAACAGAATTTGGAAATTCTAAACAAAGACTTTGATATAAAATAAAGCTTGAATCTGATTAAACACGGTGGAAATTATACGTAAGGTTAAAACTGAAGATTTTTGCAGCTATTGATAATTATCTAGCATAATTACCATTCAGTGAACCAAGAAATGGTCAAATTCAGATAAATCTGTAGTTCTCCTTCCATTGTCATATTTCATAGATTTATGATGTGGATGAGGTTTGGACCATTGCAGACACTTGAGGTTTACCTGGTTTCTGAATCAAAAAATTTTTTTTTGCTCCGCATCAGGGTCTTTTGGAAACTCTATGCAACCATCTTGATCATGTTTTATTATCTTTAAAGAATTTGGAGGTTAAGCTCTTTCCTTATTCTTAAAGCTATGTCATGCACCAGTCCAATGAATGGTTCGCCTGATGGTAAAACTCTTACATGTAACATTTGGCTCGTCCATGCATGCAAAGTTTTAAGCTCTAAAGGAGCAGGATTTTTTCTCAAATTGGTCTTGTCCTCACCACTTTTAAATTCAAAATCAAAACGTAAATTATGACTATGATGTAAAATATATAACATTTTTACTAAGATGTGTGTTGTCCCTTGTTACAACCCTTAAGTTGGCAGATCTTAGACATTAAGATCAAATTGATACCTGAACCAAAGGTTGTTGTCTCAGAAGAAGTTTGACTTTTACCCATACAGCCAAATGTTATCTACAGAGTGAAAATTATGAACAGATTTCTCTCTAAACTTTTGACAAGACATTTTAAGCACTGTGTGTGGGAAAGAAAATAAATCCTTTTATGCTGAATTAAGATTATTTTTTGACGGAAGATTAAAGAAAATAAAGACAGAGAGCGGCAAATCATGTTAGGTCAGATCTTTGACAAAATCATACAGCTTGTTTTTAAAAAAAAAGCATTGCTTGATTTGACATAAACTGCTGCAAGCAACTTTGAAAAACATATCAGAAAATCTATCTAATTTAAACCAGATTATGACTAAAAAAACAAAACAAGAAATGCAGTGATCTGAAAATCCGCAGATAAAAGAAAGAGAAGCAACCTAAAAAAAAAAGGCTATTCAGGGTTCTGGAACATAAAAGTTTTTTTTCTTCCCCTCTGTTTTGTGCTTGATGTGGTGTGGCTTCGGCATGCTCTTTGCACGCAGCGATGATCTGCCACCCAGTAGCACGCACACAAAGGCTTTTTAATGTCCTGTGCGATCTGTTGAGACATGCAGCCTTTTCTCTTGTTTACTGATGATTATCAGCACTTTCTCATTTCTGCTAAACAGAACTCAGGGCCCAGTTCTTGTTTAGGGGCGTCTGTTTACCTCAATGCAACAGCTGAAGGAGGTGAAACGAAGCTGTGAGTTACACTCAGTACTGAGGTCATTAATACACAGTGGGTTATGTTTTTGCATTACCAGAGTGTTTCCAGTAAAGGTTATAGCTTTTGACTATAACTATAACTATATATATATATATATATATATATATATATATATATATATATATATATATACAAAGAGGATGTCATATGCATTAGTGTTACCATAATACTTTCTGCTTCCACGAGGTCTTTAACCTGCTTAATGTTATTTCCCCCACAGCTCAGAAGCTGTCACTCTTTAGGAGCCTTTGAGACACAACTTAAAACTCAGATTACAGCACAGAGGACCTCAGGGGATTCAGAGCATTTACAGCAAACTAGAGGTGCACTCTCATTGGGAGTGGAAGGCTGTGAGAGGTGGTGAGAAATAACAGAGGCAGGAATCAGGGCATCCTGTAAAAACAGGCCACACATGTGCAGCGGTTTGAATTTATGTTTATAAATTATTGACTTAAATACAAACTACATAACTAGATCAACTGCAAATCCAGTTAAAAGATGTTAAAAGAGAATTAACAGTATTAGGTTGTGCAAACATCTTTTATAGTTACTTTAAAAGGTGCCTATACAGTGCTCCTACAATTAAAAGTACTGTGACTGGAGTTTTTTCGGGGTAACTGATCTGTTGATAAGCACTGCAACTAAGCTGGCTGAATGAAGCCTTCCCCCCTTATAAGAAAGACATATTTGGGTATTTAACCATTTGTTTAGCACTTAAAGATACAAAATATTACATCATTAGTGTTGAATGTCAACCATAATGACCCGTGTCCTGTATGTTATAGATGTTTGTTGCTTCAGGGCACTTGGATCAAATTAATGGTTCGTTTCCAGGTTCTCCTCGGAGAACAGTGGAAGTCATTCTAAGGTCTTGGCAGCTTTTGGAGCAAAGGTGACAAATGAAAGCTCCATGACACCTGTGATTAAGAATAGATCACTTTTACTTTCATTGTGTTAAACCTTTAAATTCAGCTAAGTAAAAGAAAAAGAATCCCTAAAAATATAGTTAACCTAATATAAGAGCATGTGGACAATTTTACACTTGAAATAATTATAGGTAATTATGGTAAACTATGGGATGCATAAATAGTACAACACTCCTCACCAATTTGGATACAGATAAAATACTTTCTAGTAGATGTTAGACATGCACCTATTCTTAAGCAAGACGTTTATTTGGCCAACAATCAAACACCCCATTACCAGTTGAATCAGGAAAAAACAAACAAAAATTAAAAATGTTTACATATTTTAAAAGGTTTTATTTAATTACTTCTTCCACAGGAATTTGTCGTTGGTTTTCCAGAGATTTTTACTTTTCTGTTCTTCAGAAAACCCTCTTGAGGCGAGGCTGGAACTGATGCAAACCTTCTGCACTTCCTCTGGGTCTGTCAACCTGTTGATGCTCTCCTCGTTACCCTCAGTGAGGATGTCCCAGATGTCTTTTCTAGTGTTCTTTGATGTCAGTGCAGTGTTTTGGCTTAATTTGGGTAAAGAAGATGTGATGAGGGTTGGGTTAGCCGGCCCTGAAAATACAGGAGGGGTTTTGGGGGTGTTCTTCTGTTGTCCATTCTTGCCTTTAGGTTTCAGCAAATCATCAAGAATTGATACATCTCCTATAAGATCTTTGAGGAAGGAGCTATTGCACAAGGTAGAAGGAGGCTCAGAATTTCCTTTGAATGTTTCACTTTCTTTCATAGGCTTGGATAGCTTGGCAGCGTTATAACATTGGAGGTCAGAGGAAGAAGGAGCATCTCTGTCTTTGTGGTTCAGGAAAGCAGCAGCGGCCTCCCCAGACCCCATACCGAGGCTCCTGGCCTGATCCACTGCTGGACCACCACCAGCACTGCAGGCTCTACGAGTAGAAACACTGCCTTCCTGTGTCTTTGTATCTTCAATGGCGCTACAGTTTATCCCTTCCTGCTCATCTGACACTAAACTTTGAAAATCCTGTTTACATTCTGGAGGATTCTTTTCAGATATCTTTTGCTTTTTTTGTGGTTTGGGAACATCAGTTTTTTGGTTTCCTGATTCAAGCTGTATTAGTGAAACATTCTTTTGTATGATTTCGGGGTAAGTTCTTCTGGTCTGACCGTATCTCCTTGTTTTTCTGACTGTGGAAGATTTAGTTTGTTGCATTTTGTAATTTTTTAATGATAAGGGAGTAACAGTTGGAGCGGAGTTCTGCTGCAGTGTTTCAGGGAAGTTTTCCCTGACAATCTGGGCCACACTGGAATGGCTCAATGATGTGTAGTACTGATGAAGCCAATTGAGTCTTTGAGATGAATTTCCTTTAAGAATCTCAACAGCAAACTGTTGGCTTGAAACAAATTTAAAATGTTGCGCCATGTCCTCCAGCTGCTGCCTAGGCAAAAAAAGGACACAATGACAAATGTTAGTAAAATGTCATGGCAAGTACGTTAAACTAGATTGGAATTACAATTCTTATAAGAACCACAAACATAGGGAGTAGAAATGCAAACTGAGTGAAAGTCTGGCTGCCGTCCAATTTAACCCTGTTTGTGGTTGCCATTACCCGGATGACTGGGAATTTAGAAAGGCACATTTATTAGGAGAAAATATCTCTGTATGAAAATCCTGCTACTTTGTTTTGAGATACTTAATTTAGAAAAAAAATTAAAGCACCTTTCAGAGAGGACTCGCTGACCCCCATTATTTTCATGTACAATACAGGAGAGGTCCTACTTACGCTGCATATATGCTGAATTGCGACTGCAGCGTGCAGACACCAGTAAATAGAAAGCGGAAAGCGCAGCGCACTCTGTGTCCTGTTACTTCTTAATCATAGAGCAGAAAGGCTCCAACTCCAGTTATTAATACCATTTTATAACTTTATTTTTTATCCAAACACCTGCAAATTCAGATTCTTGTATTTTGTGTTAAAACTGACGAATGTAAACATTTTTATAATAGTTTAAATACCTTGGACATATTGTCTTCTAGCTGTTTAGATGTTTAATGTCAATTTTAACCTATAACAATGTAAAAATTTGTTACTGATCAATAAATTAATTTCAAGTGGATTATTCTTATGAATCAAATAACAAATAATTGATAAGCATCCAATCTTAAATCCTATCAAGAGGATCTTTCCATTAACATGATAGGCAAATACTTTTTCTATCATGACATCCTCACTTTTCAAACACAGCAAGTTACGCTGCTTCGCCATGCAGCACAGCTAAATCGGTGATATTTAGGTGATGAATTAAGGAGTTTATGGAGTTTATGTTTAAAGTGCATTCTACATCCGTGACGTCATTAAAGAATGTAATGAGAGCTCTCCTTGCAAAGCTTTCTGGGATATATCTGCTCGTCTAGTGACGATGCATGATCACTACTTTTTAAGGTGCATTGTTGCAAATTTAGAGTCCACTACATTTTGATTTACTAGAAGTTCGGATGTTTTTTGAAATGACGTTTGGACACTCATCTAAAATGGTATAACCACTATATAGTGCACTATATAGTGATTAAGGACATTCAGAGACAGCCAATGTTATATATACCTAGCCTGGGTGCCATTTTGAACTTAGTCCCGCCCACAACGTTTGAGGTCGGGAAGTTCGGTCTGGCATTGCTCAATAGTAGCGCGAGTATGCTAGCACAATATCTGGCGGGCCAATCAAATTGTCAGGGCGGGCTTTATACGATGATGGACAGATGATCAACAGTAACGTAATCAACCACGTCACCAAAGCGCGCATGGGTGACAACAACAGTGGCTGCCGCTGGAGAGTTGAGGTGTGTAGATTCTGCTATTAGGTCTGTTCTAGAAGATATCGACAGCAAATTAATTTTAAAAGAGGAACAGAGAAACACGATCAAGGCTCATCTTGTTATTCTAGGCGTGCAACTGCACGCTTTGATTTTTGTTGACAACAACTATGCGTCGCTTAACATACGTCACGCACTCCGTTGCTCTTATTGGTTGTAGGTCTATCCAGTTGAGTGCAGAGGCATTTTTTTTCCTGGTTCGTTCAAAACACGCCCCATAATCACAGCTCTATGGAGCAGTATCAGACTCATATTCTGACTAGAATTAAGTAGGACTACGTCAGGCTAATATATACCTATATTAAAAACCTAATGAGATCTAAGTCTACGTCTATGCTGACTGACGCAGTGAAAAGTAATTCTCAGAGGGAGATCCGTAAAGTTTATTAAAGTTTTTCTTTCTTTTTTTCCATAAAGAGGTGAGAGAGATACGCTGTGCTTACTTGCTCTGTCTCCCCTCGTTATTTCGTTGTTTGTGAGGCTCAAAGAGGATCACTATTTTACTATATGTTTTTTCTCCTCCTAGATTAATTTGTTCCCTGATGGATATTGGTGTGTTCTGGCCTTTAATGCTAAAAAGCAATAGTTTAGACTGAAGAATATCCAAGTGTTAGAATTACCTAGTCAGAGTCCAGACATAGATCAAACTGTGTTTTCATGGCATAATGTTGAAATTGATTTTGAGTAAGGCCCCTTTCATAATTTTTAGATGAAAAAAGTATTTAAAGACACAACTCCAATTGATTTGCAGCTGTAATTGCAGTGGGGGAGAATTTTACAACATATTGACTCAGGGGGACTGAAGACAGATATATCACATATTCATATGTGCAGGAGCAGAGTAGGTGTGAAGTGCGGTGAATTTAAAGTGCCTTGAATTGACGTGTTGTGAAATGGCGCTATATAACTAAACTGAATTGAACTGAGGTTAGGTTTAGAGTTAGGTATGCAGCTGTAATGGTTATGGTAAGGGTCTAGGTTAGGACATAAATGAATTGAAGTCATGCAAAAGTCCCAGTAAGGATAGCAGAACAGAGAGATATGTGTGTGCACACTAGACACGGGGGTGAGTATTCATAAAGACCTAAGGCGATAATTTTTTGGTCAGTCAAAGGAGGGCTGCAGTTGCAAAGGGGGAAACTCCGGCAGTGTTGAGCCTAATCAAAACTGGGTAATCTTTGGCATGATGCCGGGAAATAGGTAGAAGGGAAATCTCAGAGGTGGCCTCCTTCTACAGACACACATAATCAGTTATTAAGTTCCAGGTGGGGGGATTCAGCAGCGCTTCTGCGGTGATTGTTGGCCTTCTTCCCTTCATTGCCAGGAATTCCTTTCTTCTTTCAACCCCACCCATTTCCTTGTTTCTTCACACCTTGCTCCTCACTTTTTTATTATATTCTTTTGTAAATACAACTTTAAAAATAATATTTTTCTACAACCATTATTTGTAGCACTTGTTTTCAAAATGTGTAATCCACAAACTATTCTTGTTTGTCCTTATTATTGTCCCATTTTTTCTGTCAAATAACAGCAACAGTTTTTAAATACCTGCACACAGCTTTCGGAGAATCTCCGATAATGACAGTAGTACAGTCAGTGTGGTGGATGCTCCTATTTGAGAAGACTACTGGATGATCCACACTGGGCCTCTGCAGCTGGACGGGACCAGAGGAAGGCTGAGTGGCTGGAAAGCTTGCTGGGAGGCTCTGAAACAGTAAAAAAAAGGGACACATTTAAAATGTTGTAGTGTACAGGTGCTGGTCATAAAATTAGAATATCATGAAAAAGTAGATTGATTTCAGTAATTCCATTTAAAAAGTGAAACTTGTATATTATATTCATACATTACATACAAACTCATATATTTCAGATGTTTATTTTGTTTAATTTTGATGATTACAAATGACAACAAATGAAAATCTCAAATTCATCATATCAGAAAATTAGAATATTACTGAAGACCAATAAAAACAAAGGATTTATAGAAATGTTGGCCAACTGAAAAGTATGAACATGAAAAGTATGAGCATGTACAGCACTCAGTATTTAGTTGGGCCTCCTTTGGCCTGTATTACTGCAGCAATGCGGCGTGGCATGGAGTCGATCAGTCTGTGGCACTGCTCAGGTGTTATGATAGTCCAGGTTGCTCTAATAGTGGCTTTTAGCTCTTCTGAATTGTTGGGTCTGGTGTATTGCATCTTCTTCTTCACAATACCCCATAGATTTTCTATGGGGTTAAGGTCAGGAGAGTTTGCTGGCCAATTAAGAACAGGGATACCATGGTCCTTCAACCAGGTACTGGTAGCTTTGGCACTGTGTGCAGGTGCCAAGTCCTGTTGGAAAATGAAATCTGCATCTCCAAAAAGTTGGTCAGCTGCAGGAAGCATGAAGTGCTCTAAAACTTCCTGGTATGTGGCTGCGTTGACCCTGGACCTCAGAAAACACAATGGACCAACACCAGCAGATGACATGGCACCCCAAACCATCACTGACTGTGGAAACTTTACACTGGACTTCAAGCAACGTGGATGAAGTGCCTCTCTTCTTTTCCTCCAGACTCTGGGACCTTGATTTCCAAAGGAAATGCAAAATTTACTTTCATCAGAGAACATGACTTTGGACCACTCACCAGCAGTCCAGTCCTGTTTCTCTTTAGCCCAGGCAAGACGCTTCTGACGCTGTCTGTGGTTCAAGAGTGGCTTGACACAAGGAATGCGACAGCAGAAACCCATGTCTTTCATACGTCTGTGTGTGGTGGTTCTTGAAGCACTCACTCCAGCTGCAGTCCACTCTTTGTGAATCTCCCCCACATTTTTGAATGGGTTTTGTTTCACAATCCTCTCCAGGGTGCGGTTATCTCTCTTGCTTGTACACTTTTTTCGACCACATCTTTTCCTTCCCTTCGCCTCTCTATTAATGTGCTTGGACACTGAGCTCTGTGAACAGCCAGCCTCTTTAGCGATGACCTTTTGTGTCTTGCCCTCCTTGTGCAAGGTGTCGATGGTCGTCTTTTGGACAACTGTCAAGTCAGCAGTCTTCCCCATGATTGTGTAGCCTATAGAACTAGACTGAAAGACCATTTAAAGGCTTTTGCAGGTGGTTTGAGTTAATTAGCTGATTAGAGTGTGGCACCAGGGGCCATCAATTTTGAACCTTTTCACAATATTCTAATTTTCTGATATGATGAATTTGAGATTTTCATTTGTTGTCATTTGTAATCATCAAAATTAAACAAAATAAACATCTGAAATATATGAGTTTGTATGTAATGTATGAATATAATATACAAGTTTCACTTTTTAAATGGAATTACTGAAATCAATCTACTTTTTCATGATATTCTAATTTTATGACCAGCACCTGTAGTTGCCTTCAGGCTGATTGTTGCGGGGCTTCCAGAATAATAGGAAATCTTGGTGATAAATTATCCGGGATTTCTATTACGTGGGTAAATCCCAGGACTTTCAGTGGAAAAGGGGCTTTTGTCAGACATGTACTTGTAGTATTTGTACTACCATTTTGTATCAAATGAAGCGTAAAGCGTGGCCTCCACAAATAAAAAAAAATAATAAAAATTGCAAAGTTAATAATAAATCAATACATTTTTCTACCTCATAATTATCTGTGACATTGGAAGAGGCAAAGCAGATAAAAATGCAAATAAATACACAATTGCAGTCCGTTTTTACAGGTCAGCCCCTAACACTTAAAAGATAAAGGGACTGATATCACTGCAGTGACGTTTTAAAATGGAAAATGAATGCTTCATGTTTTCCCTGTATTCCCTTTAAAAAATGAACGCTTGTTTACATAAAAATTTGTGCGACTGGGCGACGTATCACATGATCTGGGAATAAGGTGTATTCTGGATTGAGGAAGTAGCACACATATTTAATCACAGCTTTGTTTTTGTATGTTCTACTCACCTCCAGGGTATCTAGCAGGTTATTGGCTGGAAGTTGTGAGTACATTTTGCGTTCAAACACGTCCCGCACCGCAGCTCTGCTGATTAGTTCCTCAGCTTTGCTTCCTCCCACAACCCGCTGGTTAGAATGCATATACGCCACCTCTTGCACGCCCCCTTTAGATAAAAAAAAATTCAGCATTATTATTAGGATTCTGATTATTTATACTTAATATTCTAGAAATGTTGCTCTCACCTAATACACTGTCTATGGGTTTGTTTTTATCCTCAGATGTCCGAGATGTTGGACTTCGCAGACTTGTAAATGACCCAGCTTCTGACCTCCCTGTTCTTCTCCTTGTTACATTGGTTGCAGGAGTCGCACACTCGTCCTCTGAAGAAGTGAAAGATTCTATCTCTTCTCTCTGCTTGGATCTTGCCTTGTCCCTTGCACTGGCACTCTGTCTTCGAATGCTGTGGCCTGGCTTTCCCCTGCCTGCATCTCCTTTTTTGTTTTTGGACCATTTTTCTGTCTCTAGGTCTAAATCCTCAGATTCATCTGAGCATCTTTCAAAGAAGTGCACTTTTGGATTTCTAGTTTTGAACTTATTGGCATTTCTGTTTTCTGGGGAGGAATTTCCATCACTCTCCTCATCCACTGCAATATCTGTATCCATCAATCGTTTCAGGCCCTGTCTCCGGCTTAAAACATAGTCTTCCTTTTTTGAGGATAACATTTTGTGTCCATCATCTCTGCCTCTTCTGTCTGAGCCAATGGCTTCGTCTTTGGATTTTGTTACAGATTCAGGGAGGCAAGCAGCACCATTTGCTTTACAGGAAGTTGTGCAGATGCCTGTGGAGGTTTCCCCTATCTTTTGATCTTCTGCATCTTCCTCAAAGGCACTGCCTTTGTCAGAGGAAGTAGAGTTCCCTTCCTTTAACTGTTGTCTTTCCTTGACTGTTTCAAGAACTTTGGAGAAACCATGTTGTAGGAGACTCATCGGAATGGGTCCATTTGCAGCTTTCCCGCTCCTGCTGCCATGGCCTGCGCTTGAATTTGACGCCTTTCTCTTTAGCCCCTGCAGCTCCTCATCAGTTTCACTCCCACTGCTGAAATCTAGCACGCCTTTTGGGATTTTTGAGACATCAATGTTTGCTGCATGCTCTTCATCATCTGATGGTGTACCCTCTTTGGGTAAATCTTCATGTTCCTAATAAAAAACAGCAGAAATTTACATGCAGGAAAAAACATAACTCAAAAAACAGGGTGTAATAGCAATTGATCAATAGATTAATAAAAAGCAAACAAGGTGTAACATTTTTTCTTTGTTACATATTTGAAATAAACCCATCTGTGTAATTTTTAAAAATAATATTTTTCAACAACAGATCATAATAAACACCAATGTGACAATAGCTCTACTTAGTGATGTTATAGGAAGAATAGTATGAGGTCAAAAGTATTAAAACCAGCTGCTTTAACCAATTCAAAGCATAAACAGACCTCATACTTTGGTGACAAGAATTAAAAGGATTGATTGTAATTTTTCTATGACCAATCCATCCATGTGTAATTCACTCTCACTTGGCCTCATACTGATATTCTTAAGCCATTAATAGTTGTACCCTGTGTGTTTAAAGATTGTTTCAGTGAGTTTCTACACAGTTTTAACATAAAAACTAGACTTTTCCAGATTTAAATGTCCTGCATACCTGGTTCTGATGAGGACATTTTTCCAACTTGGATAAAAAGAAGCACACAATAAATCTAGTTTTGATGGTGGTGTTCAGGATGGGAAGTCAAAGGAGGACAAAGGAATGTACAGACATAGTATGGATGGATGAAAGAATCAATGAAGATATATCAATTATGTGATAAGGTCAAAACATTTCGAAAATACACTGTTTAATTTCTTTTCTCATACTTATGCAGACAGGAAGGAAGTAAACCTGATTCCAGACTTTGTCTACAGCATTTCCTTCATAATAATACCTTTTATTTATAAGGCACTTTATATTTGTTAAAACAGATCTCAAAGTGCTAAAATGGAAAACAGATAAAAGCAGATGGTGTCAGATAAGAACTATTTCAAAGGAATAACAGTAAAACAAAATAAGATCTAATAAAATATAATTGATACGCTTTTGTGAATAAGAAAGTTTTTTTTTTTTTTAAGATTTAACTGATTGGGGAGGTCTGGGGTAGGCTGGGAGGGCATTCCACATCTGTGGAGTTCATCTACAGATGAAACCGCTCCACTGAGGGCGCCATCTCCTCTGCTCTCCACCTGAGCCTAGCACACCTGGAGGAGGAGAACATCAATGTGTGGATGCTGTTCCTGGACTTCAGTTCAGCCTTTAACACCATCATCCAACAACATCTGATGGGCAAACTGGAACAGCTGGGCTTTAATACACCCCTCTGCAATAGGCTGCTAGATTTCCTCACAGACAGGCCTCAATCAGTCCGGGTCGGACAGAACACCTCTATCATCAGTCTAAGACATGCTCCCATCAAGGCTGCGTCCTGAGCCCCCTGCTGTTCACCCTGATGACACATGACTGCGTCCCCAGGTTCACCACCAATCACATCCTGAAGTTTGCAGCTGACACCACAGTGGTGGGCCACATCAGAGACGTCAACAAGCAGGACTAAAGAGAGGAGGTAGAGCATCTGGTGGGCTGGTGCAGAGATAACAGCCCGATCCTGAACGTGGAGAAGTCGAAGGAGATCATTGCTGACTTCAAGAAGAACCGGCCTAACCACTCTCTACTGCTCCTCAACAGCTCAGCTTTAGAGGTGGTCAACAGCACCAAATTCCTGGGGATGCACATCAAACAACCTCACCTGGACTGTGACCACCTCTCTGCTAACTGGTCAAAAGGGCACATCCTCTACATGTACTTCCTGCAGAGGATGAGGGGCGACCATCTACGCCCACCCATCCTCACCACCTTCTACAGAAGCACCATAGAGAGCGTTCTGACCAGCTGTCTCACTTTGTGGTGTGGAGGCTGCAGCACCTCAGACTGGAAGAAAGTGAGAACACTGGTGAGAGCAGCAGAGAGGATCATCAGGGCTCCTCTTCCCTCCATAAAAGACATTTCATCCAAGCGCTGCCTGAGCCCGTAACATCCTAAATGACGCCTCACACTCCCACCATGGACTGTTCTCCCTGCTGCCCTCTGGAAAGAGACTTCGCAGCATTCAATGCAGGTCCAGCAGATTCCAAAACAGCTTCTTCCCCACTGCCATCAGACAGCTGAATGTTGAGAAAACTCTAAATCATGTTACAGACTCCACCAAATCAAAACACTGCATTATTGCACCATATATATATTTAATTCTCTGAACTTCCATATCGATGCATTTTTTTGCACCATGTTTTTTCTCCCACATGTTTACATTTGATCACTACTGAACTTTAAGAATTGGAAATTTCATGAAAGCTGTACAAAACTATTGTACAACTGCAATAAATGTTGTCTAAGTCTAAGCACTGAAATACTCCGTCTACCACTGTCCCCAGCTTTGTTCTGGGGGCACTTAGCAGATTGGTGTTGGTTTCTGCTGCTTCTGGGAGGCTAAGGGAGTTCCTTCAGGCCAGGCATACACTGTACAATATTTTTAATCATTTTACTCAGCTACAGCTCACACTGTACGATGAAATAGCAGGGTTTAAAGCTCACGCTGTACAACCCAATGCTCTGATGCGATCTACCTGCTCACACTGCACGTCCAAAAAAAAAAAGCATTGGGATCAGCGCAGAGAGATGCTGCTGTCGGACTCATCAATCTGGAAGGAAGAAGTCCCTTCTTTGCACATGCGCAGTGCGTGAGGTTCTGGTAAATTGGCCTATAGACACTTGTTGCTCTGCTTCAACAGCAGGATTTGTCTACGAACACCTCACTAGACTAATCCAGTGAAGAGAATGGAGGATAGAGGTGATATGATGATACTTGTCTCCTTGTCAGGATTGAGAGCACTGTTCTGAATAGTCTGGAGCCTCTGGAGGATCCTGCCAGGGATCCCAACATGAATCGCATCACAGTAGTCCAGCAAGGAGGATAAAAAGGGGAGGAGCATCTTCTCTGCATCAGCCAGAGAGAGGGAGGGACGAAGTTTGGCTATATTCTTTAGATAGGCTGTCTCAGATAGTTGGTGGATGTGATATTCAAATGATAGATGGGGGTCGAATTTGACCCACAGGTTGGTAACGGACGGAGAAAGGGGTTATGATCTGGCCACAAAAGGAGAACGGCTTCAGTTTTCCCACAATAAAGCTGTAAGAATTATTTATTTCATTATTCACTGTATTTATTTATTTTACAGCCATTGAATCTCTGCTTTGTTTTAACCAGAAGACAAATGATCTTGTTTGGAAAATGTACTTTTTCCCATGAGAATTAGAGGGAGAGTGGGCCAGTGGGAAATAGGACCGGGAAAAGATGAGCAGCCATGAGAATAAAAAAGTTACTCACCTCGTTTTTGCTCTCCTTGATCTCTTTCTCGGCTTGTTTGTGTGTTTGTGTTGTTATGACACCAGCCTCCACTCGTCCCTCTCGCTGAGAGGACAATACATGCATTCATCAGCACATTCAGAATGAAAGTTCAATTCTAAAGCAAACTTAAAATCTAAAACTTTATTTGCAAAATTTTTTTGACTCCTCATACTTTACTTTTTCTTCAACTGAGTCAAATGTAAATCAAGTTCAAATGTTTTTTTTCCTTTATTTTTTTTTGTGTTTTCATTAGGCTTAATAGTTTTAATAAGCCTGCACTTGTTTTGACCAAACTACAAAAGATTATAACCTAAAAGACTCATTGGTATAAAAGCAAAATTATTACCACATCATAATTATATTTCCATAATGTGATTTTCCTGGATAACTGGAACTGCAATAAAATGCTTAAAGATAATCTCTAAACCAACCTTTGGAAACCCTGAGAAAAAATCTGTCTAGCGAACAATAAATAAATCCAAGAAATATTGTCTTATCGAAGCAAACTGAGATCAAAATGCAAATTGAGAATACATTTATATGAACAGTGTCACTATGAGGCTTGTCAAATATAGCACAGTAATCAAACCTGTCCTTATTCAAGAGACAAAGGTGTGTTGATTGTTTAACCTCTAATATCCTGCGGGTGAGACATGTCCCTTCTATCTGCAGCCTGAAGAGATTTTTGAGTCCAAACAGCTCCCCTTTATGGTCACAGTTTCCCTGAACTGCCTCAAAATACCGCCTGGCGCTCTCTTTGCCAACCACCGAACACTGCAGCTGCTGTTGAGGGAAACAGAAACAACAACAAAAACATCACTAAGAGTCATAGAGATATAAAATATTTCAAAAAGACAAGCTAATATATGTTCAGTCATCTTAAAAAAAAAATTTCTCCAAACAAATACTGGATACTGTAAGATTAAGTTGTAAGAGCCTCCATCTCTTTAAATTAGCAATTATCCTTAGAATGCCATTAATTTGCAGATTCAGTTTATGTTCTCTGCTCTTTTTATCAAAATCATGAAATAACCAGATGTATCTTAAACCAAATCATTGCAAAACATTTCAACAAAAGCATTGTTCCTACAACAGCCACATATTCCAAGTATTGTATTAAGTACAGTATTTATACGCCTTAACTCTTTTACATTTAATTTAATTATGGGGTTATAGAAGCAAATAAAAGAAATCGAAAACTGAAACAAATATCAGAAACAAATTTACAGGCTATGTGATATGATGAAAAAATAAAACATCAAATTTCCCCCCACAAAAAAAAAAATACTGCATTTCAGCTGATAATAAAAAAAAGAAATGTTTTAAAGAACACATTACAAATGTTTGGTACCTGTTTGTAAACTTGTCTGAGGTAGATAACCTCCTCTACAGTCCCAAGGGAGATCAGCCTGAGAACAGTAACATCCCTCCATTGACCGATACGATACGCCCTGCAGAGACAAACAAGCAAAATAAGCATAACTTCAATTGCATCAAAGTGTGCAATACTGCAAAAAAAATGAAAAATAATAATCATAATGCAGGAATTAATCTGACACAGCTACCTATCGATAGCCTGAAGATCATTGGCAGGGTTCCAGGTGGGGTCAAAGAGGACAACAACATTAGCACCAACAAAGTTAAGACCAAGACCACCCGCCCTAAAGGAAAAGCAAATATATTTTGGAACATGAATACCTTGAATTGTTAAAATATAAAATCAAATTTATAACACTCAACATTCCTAATTTTGAACAAAACAAGAGCATTTTAAAAAAGCTGACTTCTAATTCCTTACTAGGGTAACTGGAAAATAAATCTATTTGACAAATGCAAACTCAGCATGAATACCTTAATGCTCTTTTCCTTTAGGATGAACCTTGTGTAAAGCACCAATTCCACATTTAGTTCATACTTTTTATATATTTTCAGAAGAAGAATGTTTGAAACATTCTTTTCCATCACAAAAACCCATTTTCCTAATCATTTATAATTAATAAACAAGAGAAAATATTTGATCTATATCACAAGATGTTTCAAATACTTATCCGTATAAATTTCCAACTAACATGGTAGAAACCAGGCATAGATTGATGTGAGAAGAGCTGTTGAAGTCTTTTACAATCTGGAGTCTTTCTCTGGATTTGGTGGTTCCATCAAGACGACTAAAATCCAGTCCTTCTGCCATGCAGTAACTCTCCAGGATGTCTAAAAGCTGAAAGGACATGTAAGCATTTTAATAGGACAATTAAAAGAGCAAAACGGAATTTTACATGATGTGAATACAACTCATTAAAAAGTTGAAGAGCTTATATGAGTTCAAATCAAGACCCTGCATAAGCAAATATTATGTGAAGCAATATTCAAAGGCTAGCATTAGGAAGTCAGACTGTATATTTATATGTAAACTATAGGGTAATCCAATGCTGTAACCTTTATGAACTCTTTTTTCCCAAAGAAGTAAAACTCGGGTCAGAAAAATATGACCTCATAAAAGCCACAAATATTATTGGATGGTATCAAGTGACAGTAGCCATTGGATTGAGTCTAGTTATCCATAACAATCTAAATCACTGTCAAACCCCCAAAGGTATGCTCAGAAATCCAAAATACATCATGAGAAAACAGTTATTCCAGCTTCTTATTACTGTACACTAGTTGTGATCTCACAGCAGAGGCAATGCAGCAGAACACAAGGGTTGAAACGAGCATTGTGGTTTGCTAGGGAACAAAAAAAAAAAAAAACAGCATGTGGGTAGAATTAAATTATGTCCCAACATGAAGAGGAGAATTCCTGCAATTTATCTATTTCTAACAGCAGCGATGGAAAAACAAATAAGACCTCACATCCATCCCACTTCTTTGCTTTTTCCAGAATGAAAAATCACACCATATGACCTTAAATATTAGCTGATATAATAAATCTAATTTCTTTTTTATTTTCAAATAAAAATGCAAACTGTGCTCTTAGTATATTCTATAAACCAAGAGCAAACTGTTCACTTTTTTTCAGAAAAAAGGCCTTTAATATGTACACAACTAGTAGAAAAGTTGTATTGTTTGACCATAGGATACGTTTTATGCATACTTTTCAACTCCAAGCTGTATAAACTTGAATGCTGCTGATGAGAAGAAAAGAAAAGGATAGAAATCGAACTTTATTGATCTCACAATGGAGAAATTAACTCTCTGCATTTAACCCATCCCCTTTAGGGAGCAGCGGGCTGCCATTGTTTGGTGTCTGGGGAGCATTGTGGGATAAGGGGTCTTGCTCAGGGGCCCAGAGTGGAGGCTGTCGGGATCGAACCTGGTACTTGCAACCTTCTCATAGTACAAGAGCACTGCTTTAAGCACTAGGCCAACACTCCCCCCAATATTTGTGTAAGTGAGAGAAAAAACCCTGTATCCAGTAGTGCATTTTTATTAAGCAGCTTTTCAACATCAGGCAAAATGGGGCAGAAAACAGATTGCATTTAGAGAGGTCAGGATAAAAAAGGATATTCATAAGCACTGAAAATATGTAAAGGATCAAAGTATGAATCAACATTCAAGAACAATTCTCACCCTGGTCGACAGGGAAAAGATGAGCACTTTGTCCTTCTTTGGCAAATAGTAGTTAAGAAGCTTCTGCAAAACCTAAAAGAAAACAAACACTTGTAAAATGGCAAATCTGGGACATTAAATGAAGACTATATGAGCATGTTTATAACTTAACGTGGCACCTTCATCTTTCCACTGTACATCGGGTCTGAAAGAGCCTCAAAGGCTTCATTTTTGCATCTCTGCACAAAGTCTGGAAACTTCTGGAAAACCTTTGCACAAACAGAACTCACATACCTTTCCTAAAAGATATGAATTCACGATTTTAATTAGCAACATTAGAAAGATAAGAATTTAAGATGTAGACGTTGGAATAAACATACATAAATCAAGAATGGAAAACCAAATAGTTTACCTGTTTCTTGCTGGTGCTTGAAGTAGACTGAAGGAGTGCTGCATGATTGACAACCTTCCTCAATATGGCCAAGTAGGTGAAGTAGAGTTTCTTTACACAAACACCCTCAGAGTTTGTCTAGAAAAAGATCAAAGAGTCATTTCAGATTTAGTCAAATAGCCACTTCTCTCCTAACTTATTGATCAACATACTGATGATTTAATTGCCGATTAAGGTTGAGGGAGTTTGCAATATTTAAACTTCTATGAAAGGAAATGTTGAACCTAATGAGCTCAGCAGGATGGTGTGCAAAATAATAAAAACACCTTCTCTGATTTCATTTTGGTTATTTAGTTTTTTTCTATACCTTTAACTTTACAAAAATACTAATTTGGAGAGGAAAATAAAAAAACTAACTTTATAGCAGCAGCTCCTTCGGGTGCGTCCACTTTGGCAGTCGCATTTCTCTGAAGATCTTAGCATTAACGTCACATCCTCAGTGTCCAGCACGGCCTGATACACGGTCTGCTGAAAGTCTGTCAGAGAGCAGTACACTACCTGGGTTGAAGCACAACCAACAGCTTCGGTAAAGCACCATAATTTTTACAAACAGAGAAGAAAATCAAACTAAAGATCCAACAGATGCAGATGATGTTTGAGGCACTCAAGGTCTCCAGCCTTACTCTGTCATCCTTCTTTGGCAGCTGCTCTCTGATGAGTGCTTTAGTTCTCCTGAGGAAAAAAGGAGAAATCTGCCTGACCAGGGCTCTGATCGTCTTCCTTCCTGTAGCCAGGGCCCGTTTGGTTGCACTGTGCCTCTGCGCCTGTTCAATGGGGTCTGAAAATCTGTTCTTGAAATGTCCCAAGCTACCAAGACACCCTGGTTTGGCCCTAAATGGAAAAATAATTAACAATAATATTACATCAATACTACAAACAAAGGCTAAACAAGAAAATGACTGCTGCACATTACTCAACATTATCATGGAGAATAATAACCCACCAATCCATGACACACCACAGCTCTTCCAGATTGTTCTGCAAGATGGTCCCAGTGAGACCTATTCTGTTCTGATGGAAGAAAATGGTAGAAATTACATGTTAGTTACAAACACACTATCGACACAGCTGTTGTAATTCTGCCTGAAAACCTTTAGCATGACTGAGGTTTTTAAATAATACTTCTAAAACCTTCAACAATTATTATGAATTATTTAAACACAGACAAATAACAAATGAAATATCTGATTTTGTTTTTATATTGAATAAGCAAAAACAACAACTCTCACCTTACATCTCAGCTGCTTCATAGCCTGAGTTATCTGGGAGTTTGGGTTTTTTATCTTGTGGACCTCATCAACAATCACTCCAAACCAGTCAATTCTGTGCAGAGGGTCAGGGACAGTTAACGATTAATTGATTATTTAATTGATGATTATTTCAATAATCTATTAATCACAATATCTACTAATTGTTTCAGCGCTACTGTACACATTTCTCTCTCTTAAAATTAAATTGAGAAAGCTCTGTGTGGCGAAGATTCTACAAAATCAACGATTAAAGCTGGATGGCTGATGTAACTTGCAGTGATTCTGAAAGTCAGTATAAGAAGCTGAAGTAGAGTCTGTTATGCAACATATGCTTTGGACCCGTTTGTAAAGTACCTTGTAAATAAACCTGAGCCTGTTATACTACTAAACTGAATGATAGTGTTGTATAATCATGTTTTAAAACATCTTATATTGGTTTTACTAGACTTCCGACAAGCCAAAATTCATTCTGAACTTTTCAATTAGTCTTCATTGAGTTTTGGGGATCTTTTTAGTCTTCTCAGTGTCTATGATTACTGTTTTCTTTTCCCTCTCTGTTAAACTAGCTTTCAGTCAATGAGTCTAAACAGAACAACAAATTGTTGGCCATCTTCAAAAAATTTTGGAAATATCAAATAGCAAAAGGTGATCAGTAAATGAAGGCCATGTTTTTTTTAACAGAAAGAATAGATCACACATGGAGCCCAAGAGATGGAGTTATCCTAGTTAATCATCTACAGTTGCCCATGTTTCCAGCTAATATTTAGCATTTTTATTGCTTATAAAAAAAAAAAAAATGTGTAACAAAGACACAATTTGTTTAATATTGACAAAAGGGCTTAAGATACCATTGCTAAGTATATTTTCTTAATAAACCTAAAGAACTATTAGCGCAAGACTTTGAAAGTGACAAGGAAAATCTGGATTCCTGGAAACAAAAAAAGGATTGCTCAACATATTTTCTCAGTACTGTGTATACAAATATGACCAGGTTACTGGTCATATTATCAGTTAATAACTCTGGAAGAGCTGCAGCAACTCAGAGCTAGTGGATAACAACTAACTCCCCATATGCAGTATCCTTTTTAATGGCCAAATCTACTGTGGCCGAGTCTGTTGAACTTAATCTAACGGGTCATTCAGCAGTAGAGGTGTGTATCCGTGGATTTTCATTACTTATTGAACTGATCCAAACAGAGCCTCAGAGTCTCGTAGGTGGTGAGGGCGATCTTGATGCGACCGTTCTTGATGCGAGCAAGCTCCTCCTCTTTCCTGAGTCCATGGACCACCACACACTGGAAGTACCCCCACGTGTTCAGTTCATCCTTCCAGTTATAAAGCACTGACAATGGGGCCACAATCAGAAACACCTGGATGGGATCACACAACACTTTAATCAGCTTGATGACAAGATAATACTTTAATCTGCTGCACATGATTGAATACAGAAAGTATTCGAGAAACTATGTGATGTAGTTCTATGTTTCAGTACCCACTTTAGTGGGATTAATTTGATTGGAGGGTAACTGAGTTTGCAGGAACTGAGGCCTGTTGTTCTCTATGTCCTCCCATGTCCCGGTTTTGTGCAGCAGAGCAGCAAGAAAACCTATGATCTATGAGAAGAATTGAAAAAAATACAGAGACAGCTCCATCAAAGCAACATTTATGTAAACCAATTTCCTCAGTTGGACAATTTTTAAGATAATTCTGCTTCCTTAGTCTTATACCTGCACAGTTTTCCCAAGGCCCATGTCATCTCCTAGAATACAACCAGTGGAGGCCATGAAGTTGTTGTAGATGAACCTGATCCCTTCCCTCTGGTAATCCCTTAAGTATCTGTTGATGGTATAAGGGACCCGGTCTTCATTGCTCAGGTCTAAAGGGATGGAAAGCATTGGGTCGGTGCTGCTGCCAGGGAACACTGGTTTCTCCTGTATCAACTGCTTAGACCCAGAGTTAATAAGTTTTTTCCCAGATGTGCCTTTCGCCTCCTGCTCCTCTTCTCCTAGGGTGCTTTCCTGAATGTCACCCATGCTGTATCGTTAGTCTGTTGGCCGGAAGTCAGTCTCTGTATGGTGGCTTCTCTGAAGATGCCATGATGTAAACTTGGAGCCAGACAACAATCACCTTCCCGCCACACTGGAACATACAGTAAATACACATGCAGGTGTGATTATAAACAAGGATGCCACTGAATTTAAATGATTTTAGTTATGGAATTCAAAAACTTAAGCTCATATAGAGTCGTTACACAAGAAGTTATATATTTCAAATATTATCTCTGTTGAAAACTGGGTATGTTTGCAGACACCCATTTGTGACCCAACTTTGTTAATTGTGTGACAAAGACTGTGTGCCAGACAACTATCAGTTCAGCATGTCAGAGGATGAAGAGATCACATCCAGCCAGTCACAGTCAGAGAAACAGGACTACACTGGAAAAACAGGCAGGTCTCCAGCATCTATAAACAAAGGTGTTGATAGCATATGACAGCAGTCCTTTCCTTAAGTTAATTTTCAGGAATAACTTCCTTTGTTTAATTCAAAAACTGTTTTAAATATCCTATGACAATGAGGTTATTCAGTACTGGCGGTTATAAATCGCAGCTAATCGTCAGGTTTATCTACAAGATCGCTTTGAAAACACAGCTGCATACACATAAAGCTCTGTTAAGGTTTGGAAAACAACAACATACTACCAAAATGTTACACAAACCTTTATCACGAGTAGAAGTTGATACCATCAGAATTTATCCAAACTCCTTTTTTTCTGGTTGAGAAAGATGGTACTGTAAGCTTAGCAAACATTATCGACACATAAAAACTTTCCATTAGAGAAACGGTTGATTCCTTCACACACGTGTTTTCATATTAAACCCACAACCCGTAGTTTGTTCTCAGTTTCAATGTACATTTTTACGACAAATAAAAACAATCGATTGAGAAGAAGAAGAGAGCAGGAAGAAACTCCTCCTCGGCTTTTCAGTGTTTATCTATTTTAGCAAACCACGGTGCACTTTCGACACATTTTCAACGAACTAAAATAATCTTAAAATATTTTTTTAGCTAACCGCCATTCGTACCTATATATTTAGTGCAAAAATTATTATTTCTTTTTGCTAGTCAAAATTAATATTCTCAAAGAAACATATAGATTAGTTTATATATTTATCGAAAGTGCTCCACTTTACAAAGCAAAATTAGTTGCGTTTACCTGTTAGTTATCTGAGAGACGCTTTTAAAGTGGTCTTAATTTTCCGCTCCATTATCTGAACAGAATATTACTTACCCGGCATGAAGTTAGAATTAAGCAGAGTCATTTATATCCCTTAAAAATTATGAATCAACAAACTATTAATTTATTCATAAAAGCATGGTTTGGTTGGTTGTAAAGTAGATCCAAATCGAACCACATCAATTATTCAACCAAAATATTTATGAATAATAATATTTTGGGTTGATATTTATTTTAATATTCAATCCAGCAAATGGTGCACGATAAAATATACCTGCTAAAAATACTATTTGGTCATTTGCCATAAAGGACTTTGCACATTTTTTAATTGGGAACAACCCTGATGCCTCTGCTACTCTATGGTCCACATTTAAATTGCAAGTAGGGGAATTAAGAAAAAAAAAAAATCAAGCTTTCCCACTACAGATCAGAAAACAGATTACTTAACAAGTAGGTTGTTTTAATCATGTAGCTATTGAAGATATATTAGTATTTAATACCACCAATACTCCAGAGTCAGACACAAAGTACCGACAATCTCACCAAGGATGACAATTACAGCGACAATGTCAAACAGAATGTATTTGATTTTTAAAAACAAAACAACAATGTCTCAATTCTCTATCCCTGATTTCACTTTCCCTACACCCTGTTGTGGCACTGCAGATGAGGTACGTCTAGGTCCATTTCTTGTCATGGTACACTGCCATACAAAACATTTTTTTTCTTGTTTGTTTGTGCTTTCTCAACTCTGTAAAATTTATTGGGCAGCTGCTGCAGATGTTCTCATAAAGAAGTCCCAAACACTGATCTGACTTCCAGTTTAGGCGGGGACTGGAATGAATTTGTTAACCTCTTCCCCAAGAAAATGCAGAAAATTGGGATGTCGGTCTGTACATCAACATCTTATCCAGTCAGTGTGTTGAGAAAAAAGACAAAAAGCTTAGGAGAAATTATATGTCACTTAAGGTTGTCCTTCAGCTGCCTCAATATTTTACCCACAGCTTTCTTCAAGGATGCTTGCCTCAGGTGGCATCTGATTTGATTCAAATAATAAAATTATACTTTTTGTGTGTTTTTTTTTACCCCCAAAGCACAGAGGCGTAGCCAGAACAGCTTTATAAGGGTGGCCAAGCATCTATAATAAAGATGCATATATTTAATCATCCATGCAGGTATAGTGGATAAAATTCTTTCAAGCTTGAGTTCTGGGGCGAACATCTTTTCCATTGTCATTACTTACCTACTTTTGTCAATAATAATTCTACATAAATTGATTATTTGATTTGTTTTTATTAAAATACTTATTTATCTTATTTCACTGAAGACTCCTAGATGACTTGCAGACAAGCATCATTTTCTCTTTACCCCATAAAACACAAAATCTAGTTCTGAAAAGAGCATGAATTCTGTACTTATCATCTATAATGTTAGTACATTGATGTGTATAATTGACCACAGTGTTTTTGTTGTCAAGTAATTGTTAATATATGAAAAATTTAAATGTTTTGAATATTCCACTTGAGAGTATTACTGTCTGTATTAGAGGGGAAAAAATGATAGGGGTGGCCAATGATTGGCTGAGGGTGGCCACCCCTGGCCCCCCATCTAGCTCCACTCCTGCAAAAGCAGTAGCTGTCAAAACAATTTTCTAAAAGAATGGTCTGAACAAGTTGCTGTTTCAAAATTAATGACAAACTTAGATCCTCCATTTATGAGGCTACTATTAAAACTATGTTTCAACATTTAATATCTTCTTATCTCTGACCAGGCGTTTTGACCACTTCCAGTCAGGTTTATATCCTCAACCTAGTATAGGTGTTACCTCCTGCTTTAAGAGAATCCTGAGGCAGAGAACATTTGTTATCCTCTAATTATGTTAACAGGCTTTGTACATTTTGGGTCTTACCACTTTTTGATTTTTTTTTTCACCCTTACTCACTCTTCCTTTCCTCACAACTTCCTCCATGAATGTGTTACTATGTTCTCCCTCTTGAAACTACTTATCTGTATTGCATATCTCTCACTCACCTACCTGTAAACCCATCAATGTCAGCTACTCTACAACTAACTTCAATTAGGACTGAGGACAATCCCCCCCCAAAAATCCACATACTTATTTGTAATGGCGCGTCCACACCAAATGTGACTCCAGCAATAAAGTCACCCCATTTGGATAATGTCGTTGGCCTGGTGCTATCACACCAAACATGTTTTTGGTGACTGGAGAGAGCTTCTCCCAGATTACACATTAGGTTAGAACATTGAGTCTGAGAGGACCTTGTTCTCTGCACATTACACATCCAAACTCGAAATAAAAACTAGACACAATGTTGAATAATGAAATGTTATCACATTCTATTTAGGCCTCAGATACTAGGTTATAAAAATTATTGCTATGGCCCAAGACTAAGTTCATCTCTTAATATTTGAATCTGGAAAGGTACTTGGCAAAAATGTATTCCCTTATAGCTTTTGTTACACTCATACAAAATCAATTCAATTTTACTATGACTGAAGTTATTAAAAGTCACATAACTCGACTGTATGTATTTAAAATTCTCAGATGGCCTGAATTTGATGGATTGTCTCCTTTGTCCTGCAGTGAAATGGAAAACTCTGCAGAGCTACGTATTTGAGATCAAACTGCCTCTCATTACACTGTAGCCTCATAGAGGGGTCTTTTGTTTGTCCGCTTTGGTCAAATTAGGCACATCAACTAGAAAGTATAACTAACAGTGGCATCAGTGCAAGTATACAATGCGTGTAGGGCAGTCGTTGATTTATTTCTTTAGTTTCTGTCTTGCCATCACAGGCTCCGCAGGCCCTTTTATAACAGCTGATTATTTGGCTGTCAACAAGAGTGTTAAACCACGGGTCAGAACAGAAAGAAGGAGGACCCTCTAATGACTGTGAATTTACTCTAATCTGGCATTAACCACAGTTCTCCTGCCAGGCCTGGAGGACACGCACAAAGTGTTTTATCTTGCAATAAAATATCTGGCTACTGGACAAAGATTTCCCCCTTCTGCTCTTCCGAACCACCCCTAACCCAACATGAACGCTGACTGGGACTCAAAGAACTGCATGACTGCACGTCTCAACAATGAGGCCACACAGAAAGCACCAGCTAAGCAGAACTGGATGTCCAATTCTCAGGCATTTAAGCATGCAATTACACACCCCTCCACTCACCAGTTCATTGTGGGGATCAGTGAGTACAACGTGGTATCTGTAGTAGTTCGATTGGACAGTGGGGTGTATGGATGCAAGAGTCTTTCTTTTGTGATTGCCATTAAATTAAATATGTTGCAAAATCATTAACATCCATACACATAAAACACACCAATCAAAATGTAGTTTTCTGTGATTTTAGTGTTAGCCTACCCAAAAGGGTTGCACAGCTATAAAGTTATGCATGGGTTTCCAAATCAAATTATTTTTCAAATGGAACATGTTTTTCCAAAATAGTTCAACACTATGTACTTTGAATGGTCCATTTCAACACATGATTGTTTTCTGATGTAAACCATTATAACTATTGCTGTATGGTTATGGTTGTCTACCTGCTGAAAGATGAACATCAGCTCTGGTCTTTTAGACTGACAGATCCAAGACTAACAAGCTTCTTTTAGAACTGTCCTTATTGGTATAGTATTAGATCAAATTATTTTAGGGTTCACTAAATTTAATAATTTTGCTTTTAAAAAGAACTGGAGATTTCCTCATATTTGTTACTGCTAAAATTAATCCTTCTCAAGTATATACCTATTCACTAATGTGTTTATATAGGATCAGAGATTAAAGATGGCCCCCAAGAACATTTTTCTTGACTGGTCAAAGCATTTTACAGGGTCATAGAATTCTTGGCACCTTATAATTTGTATTTCCATTCAAGTAAATTAATTTTCCGCACTCAGGAGGAAACACAACATGGGATAGGTTAATCGTTCCTCTATTAACTCCTTGGTCTGAAAACTATTGCTTACGTTTAAAAAGGAGACGTGTTAAACAGCAGGCTAAAGAAAATCATTCAGTCCTTAAACTTTAGCATCCCTCTAAACAAGAAAAAATCCCATAAGAATAAGAATTTAAATTAATACAAAGGAGTAGACTCTCATTACTGACCAAAACATTACAATGATTTAAGAGGCACCTAAAACCTCCAGAAATCATAAAACGTTTTAACTCGCTGGATATTTCCTATGGAAAAAAATGTGGTAGTGCACAACACATAGAACTACTCTCCATGCCTATCAAACTTAGCGGTGACGAAAACATATATCACATATGGGTATTGTCACCCAGCATTCTGTGCCAAACAACCCTTTTTTAGTACACCTACTTTTTTAGAACTGTAAATTTACAGTCGTATGTTTATATTACTGTCTTTATAAATTTCTTGATTTTTATTTATTTATTTATTACGGTACTATTTTTCAAGGCTGCACTTTTAAATAAGATGAAATTGTCCAGAGAGCTGTTCCAAATGAAGTTTCTTTTTGTTTTACACTTGTGTAAACATAATGATAAATAAAATCTGTCTATGTCTAAGTCTACATTTTGCCATAAATTGTTTATGCAAAGCACTGCAGGAATGTCCCTGTAAATTTAAATGAGCCAGCTGATCAGTTTAACCGAGGCAGAAATAGCACTAATGTGTACTAATGAGTAAGATGGAGAGTAAGTAATAAATATGTTTAGTAGCCACAAAAAAAAGGAAATATTAAAATGGCAACAGATTC